CATAGGTCGTCGGCGCCCTCGCCAGTTGGACTCGTTCTCGAGATCTCTTGCTCACATGGCACCGCAGGATCAACAGATCCTCCTCCGCATGGTAGGCGGTCCCCACCGTTCGTCCTCGGCGTTGCACAAAGACGTTCTGCGGGTGCGCTACCACCGAGTAGCGGTCTCTTAGCAACTTCGGCACACTGATCAGGTTCATCCCGACGCGTGGCGCGAAGTATACGTTCTTGAGCACCAGGGGTTGGTTGAACTTCCCCCGGAGCGTGAGCTTCACCGTCCCAATCCCTTCGGCTTCCACTGGATCGCCCGCCGTGTCCAACATCTCGCGATGGGGCCGCAGACTGCTGAAGCAGCTCCGGTCCCAGCAGATGTGGCTGGTGGCAGCCGAGTCCAGGATCCACCGGGGTGACGGTGCGTGGGTATAGAGAGTCGTCACCCTCGCCCTCACAACATTGATCCGCGGTCTCTTGGAAGTCGGCGGGCCCTGCCGTTCTTCCACCTGGCTTGATGGTATACTTCGCAAATTGCTTCTTGGTGAGCCGGAAACACTCCGTTCGGCCTTCAGGGCATGGTCCCTGGACGGCTGTTCTTCTCGCTGTTTCTTCCAGCACTGCGCGACCACATGGCCGCGCTTCTTGCAGTAGTTACACTTTTTGGTATTCTTCTGCACGGTATTGATTGAAGGGCTATTCGATGCGCCAGACGCTCCATGCGGGAGCGTTGCGGCGTCCTTCCGCTGCACCGTCTGTTCTGCATTTGCCAGACGGTTTCCGATCGTGGTCGGGTTGACTGGATCTTTGTCATTTTGGATCGCATCTACAATCAAGATGTATTCTGGTCCGATCTGAGTCAACAGAATCGCAATGTGCGTCCGGTCGCCGATTGATCCGGGGACGATAGCATTCAACCGGTGTACTAACATCCGTACACGATCGACAAACTCGCGTGCACTGCCACAGCGCTCGCCTGTGGTCTCACGCAACTGGGCGAACAGCTCGCAGAACGTGGCGAGTTCCATCCGCCGATACCGTTCTTCAAGTTCATTCCAGAGGTCGCGAGATGTTTCGAGTCCCGCGACATGAATGCTGATGTGGGGGGACAAGTAACGGAAGATAGTATGGTAGGCCTCGGCTTCGCGGCGCGACCATTCACGGTGGCGCTCGAACGCCTGGACCTCCACTTCGAGGCGCGCGTCGATGGCGCGCTGCCTCACCGCCCCGCTGAGGTGGGGCTCCACCAAGGGGTGGATGTCCGCCGTAATAGGTTTGGCGTACTTGAACAGGCAGTCAGGACGCTGGAGGTCGCCCGACACCACGTCCCAGACCTGTCTCGCTTTGAGGTAGGAGGTCATGAGACGTTTCCAGGTAGCGAAGTTGTCGCTTCCTGTCAGAGGCTCGATGGCCGTGACGGCTCGGTCTGGGGAGTCATGGACCAGAGCCGACATGATGATAAGTTGATGAGTTGAAAGCGGGGTAGATATATAATCAAGATGGATAGATAAGATGTTTCTCAGATGAGTAGAGACGGCACCCGAGAGATTGCTCCCGGGCTCATAACCTGTTGTTAATCAAAGGAAGATTGATTGTTATTGTCATCCAGAGGGAAATATGAGGCTATATATACAACGAGAAGAACAAGTTGATTGGAAATCAACTTGATTCTGTATATAGATATTTCGGCATTAATTCCGATGGGACGGCTTGGTTCCTGATCTGCACCAGCCTTATATCACAACAAGAGTCTGAGTCTTACGAGATCGCAGATCCGGGTCGACGTTCGCTTTTCAAGCCTCAGCGCAATTGAAGCAAACTCCAGGATTCATTTCTCGTTAACTCTGGTACAAACTCCCAGTATCCAAATACTCCAGCCGGTAGGTTCAGCACTATTTGCAGAGGAAGCTCAAGTTGCTACTACAGTGAGATGACCGAGTTCTTCGAGACCAAGTCTTGTTGAGTTCAGAGGAAAATGGTCGTTATCACCATTGTCCACGGGAAGGCAGGACAATCTATACAATGGGATGACCAATTTGATTGGAAAATGGCTTGATCATTTACATAGATAGCTCGGGATTGTTCCGATGCTTCGGCTTGGCTGCTAATCTGCATTCGCATCTCGCAACAAGTCTGAACCACGCATGATTGGGGAAAGAACTTGTTCTGGTAGCCAAACCATACCAATGATTCGCAGGTACTTGAATATAGGTTTCAATAGAGAATTCCCCGATCAATCGGTCCTACCAAATTTGGTAATCTCCACGGGGGCTGGACAATCAACTCTGTTGTGCGATACGTTTGTCACTTCTAATTTCAAATAAATGTAAAAGGCAGTACTAATAGTTTCGAGAACGTATAAAGACTCATATGCTTATCTTTTGCCAACTTTGCTGCTTGTGACAGCCACTATATGAGGGCGTCCAGCCATAATAGAATCACATCCATGATTCGTCCCAGATCGCTACTCTTGAGGATGAGCGGATATCATAAGACCTGAAGGCATACAATCCAGCATCATATGCTGCAGGTGAATTGCCTTCTTCCTTCGATCCTCCAGAATGAGCTCCATCTCCCGCAGCTGTTGTGTGAGAAGATCCCTCTCATAGACGAGCCAGTCATACGAGGCTTGAAGCTTGCTGTTTTCATTCACCAGACGCAGACCCTGGGCGGACTTCACAATATAACACTCCCACATAGCTAAGTAGAAACCGAGAAGATTGAGGCCTTGTGCCGCAAGGGGCCCATCGAGTTCCAGTAGTTGTCTTATCTGCACCGTCAGAGCGCCAACGGGTTGGGATTGCTGCAGTCATCAGTACGTGTGAAAGAATAGCTGATTTCCCATGAAAGGACACTCACCTGGGGCATTTTACTGGGGCTCCCGTCAAGCACCTTCGCTTTCGGGAATGAGGCTTCTCCATCCTCATACAATTCGCGCGGCTTTTTGTTTGGACAATCGATCAATGGTTCTGGGCTTTGACAGTGCTTCCGATCCATAGGCGAGGACATCTTGCAGAATATCGTGGGGGTTCAAATATGCGGGAAATCGAATCTGATTCATGAATGCATGGTAGCAGCGCAATTTGAGCGCTTATATATATGTTTTTTTTTGCAGTCGGGCTTTGCAAAAACTGAATGTTTGCCAAGACAGTGATCAAGAAAGTCAATTTTATATTGCAAGGTGCGGTCTTCCAACGTTGAGTAAACGTCTCGATGGACTTCAACACCTAATCACCGATTAAACCGATCCAGGGTGGAACAGTTGCCAAGCCTAACTTGGAAATGCTCAATTTGACTGCTTTTAAAATCGTGAATTTTGGCATCCTCGACCTGGCCGCTATCAACATATACAGGGTGACGCAACGCTCATCTAGATCTTAGAAGCACAACATCGCACGCTTCTTTTTTGATGGGTAAAATGCCATCCATTAAAATACACCAATACCGCAATATTGCCGGACCCTAGGTACGATTATCTCATGATAAGAATACAATAGCGCCTGCCAGCCAATTTAACTTGTAGGTAAGCCTGATTCTAGTATCTCTAGATTAAAAGAATGGAGAACAATAACCTTTGATATCTTCTGACCCACTCAATAGGGTTCGGAAAAACAGTGGACATGAGGTGAATGAAGATAGTGAGCTCAGCAATTCGAGCGCAAAAAACAAACATGACTTCTGACCTCGTGAGCAATATTTCATGGGGCCTTAGTCTGCAAATCAAGCACAATATGTGAATACCTAGAGCCAGTAAATCTTGCTATATTGAGGCCAGACAGAAGATGAGGCTCCAGCGATCGGGTCAAAATTGCGGGTTGAACTGGAAGGTGGGAACACACCATCAATCATGTTAGGCCTTACAAGTCTCGTAGCCTGTATTACCTGAAGAGAACATAAAAGCGAGCATCACACATCCAGTCTTACCCATCAAGTCTAGCACCATGCGTCTCGTTCCTTATCTCTTCACTGTCGGCTTACCCCTGACCCTTGCGGGCCGATTTCAGCTTTACGATGTCGATGGAAAATGCCGTATCTATTCAGTTGACAACTGGGATTGTACGGGCACCTCGGATCCAATCGGGAATCTCAAAGGAAGAACATGTGACTGTGAGAAAGCATCCCCACGCAACCTGGATTACTGCTAATAAGCCACTCGCCAACAGTGAAATCAGGAGTGGCGGACGGGCCGCGCTTCATGAACGTCTCGATCTGTGGCCATGATGCCGGGAACAGAAGCTCGGTCGCGACCGTTTCACTCGAGGATACTGGCTTGATATGGTTCCAAAACCTGCAAGGTCAGACGGCCAGTTGCACAATTGACGCTTCTCTCCAAGTCGGGAGTGAGTGCACAGTTGGCCGAAACACCACCGAGAGAGTGACGACCACTTCGTCCACCACTCGAACTCTGGCCGTTGTGCGTCCTACGGAAATTCCATCCCCGACTCAAAAGAACACGACCGGACTAGCGACGGACTGCTGATGCATTCTCTGCCTTAAGTGAACCTGCGAAATATTTTGCTGTCAAATTTGTGGCTTTGCTCATGAGACTCACATCTTTTCTCGCCCTCAAGTTGTTGCTCTCAACGTCTAAATTGGCCTTGCCAGATTGAAAATTGAATACCGAAATTAGTTTCTACGATATCAGCCGAGCGCTCTGACCCATTGAATGGTGAGTATAAGTCTGTAATAAGCCCTGGTAGCGACGATCAAGTAGCTTCAAATCGTTCTCGGCTCCTGACAATATATCTAAATGGACAACAATTGGTATTTTGCTGATATATACTCTAATCGACGGGACATCATCTGTCTCATGGAAAGCATCTGCGAATGAAACGAGCCTAGCTACTCGGCTCTAAATATGAACAACTTCTTTCACGGCCACTTAATTCAATGGGATACTCGTCCCAATGGAGTGCTCCTTTCGGGGTGGCTCTTCCTCCCAAGACCCCCACAGCACCAAGTAGTTGAGAGTGTATGATCCCTCCTCTTTTACGCGACGTACGGCAATAGCTAGACGTCAGTTTCGGTCATGCGGAACTGGAATAGATGGTTGTCTTACCTCCTCGTTCTGCCCACTGGACCAGTCCCGCCCGGTCGAGTCTAGCACGCTCGACGAGTATTCAGTGGTAGCTTCATCGGAAATGACAAAGTCATAGTCATCGGTATTTTCGGATGGAGCATTTTCGTTCGTTGACTGCGAAGACGATTCATCGGCGGTGACAAGTTCTTCGGGGTAGTCCGGCCAAGACAAGGTGGTCAAAAGTTCGTTTTTCGGATGCATAGCCATTGGTAGGATGAGAGTTGGGATGAAAGTTGAGGAAAATGAAATGAATAGTGATAGAGACTGGTAGCCTGGGCCCTTTATAAACGTAGAATATCGGTATTGGTGGCCCGCCTTTTTGGACTGAATTTTTCTTGCGGTTGGAAAGGAAATGGTCGTTGGTTTACCGAATGCATCTGTTTACTGAACGCCTCTTTACTGAACGCCTCTTTACTGAACGCCTCTTTACTGAACGCCTCTTTACTGAACGCCTCTTTACTGAATGCCTGTTTACTGAATGTCTGTTTACTGAATGCCTGTTTACCGAATGCCTGTTTACTGAACGCCTCTTTACTGAACGTCTATTTACTGAATGCCTGTTTACTGAATGCCTGTTTACTACTGGCTTTTTCACTGCTCGCATCTGTTTAAACAAAGCATTCTAGTAGATTCAAATAGATAGCTCGTGTGCATTTCATTGGGTTTATCAATTGGATGGCTCATTCCCAAGCAAAAGATAAGCCAATACCAATCAATTGCTCAATCTATCGGTAGCAGCCACAGAGCAGGAAAAGAACCCTATCCCTCTCTGAAACTTCTTGAAACTGACGCACTCCAAGCTGAGTGATGATTCGAGGATTAAAGAGCATGAATACATTGCACTGCATTTCAGAGCATATTTCTCTACCATACATAATGATCGAGTCTCCTGCCACCGTTGTCTCCTGCATCAATACCTGCAATATTTCAAAAACCTCAAGGCAGGGACTCGCAATCAAAATCGGCTGCGTGAGCAGTTAGAGCTCTCTGATCAATGATCATTCGTATGATGGGCTCTAGCTGTTGGTGAACGGAGCATGACATATGAAGTGGACATAGTTCCTCGCATGCTTCCTGGGCTCTGTCCACGCGCGTAGTTAGCTGGCATGTCTTTTCTTGTAGCCGGAAGATTTTCGTATAGATGGGAGTCATGGACTCCTGTGTCTGCGACTCGAAAAGCTCGTCAAGTACCATGATCATGTCTGCCGTGCTCTCTTGCAGTATTTTGAGTGCTTTGTAACATTCGCGGAGGTAGCGATTCTCGATTTGCTGCTGACCAATTTCTTGCGATAACTCAATGAGCTGTTGCATATTGCAGGGGCTACCATATGCAAAAAGTAAGATGATGTGGAGAATGAAATTAATCACTGGGCAGTTGGGGTTGACTCTACTACTGAGTTGAAGTTGCTATGCGCCTGGGATATAGTCAGGCGATACAAATATCCAAAGCCTCCCGTCAAGTTAAGTGGTTCATCATAATTTATATTATTATTTATATATTAAAGAGTAACCTTTTCAAGATTTATTTTCAAAATTGAAAACTTGTCTACTTTCTATTTTTAATGCATTTTTTCCTAATTCAAAAGCAAATCCTAATGTTAATATAAATATACTTTTTTTTTTTTATTTTTTTTTTTTATAAAAAAAAATTTTTTTTCTTTTTATTTATATATTTAAAATATAGATAATTCTATCTTGCAAAGTATATTCCTTAATGTGTCTTCAAGTCCAATAAATTTAGCTATAAAAACTGCTTTCTTTATATTTGCATTTATTTGAGCAAGAGCTTCTTTCCCTAGAATACGTTTTGATCAATTAATGTCTGTTTGTTGAACAGTATTTTTACCTTTAATTATAGCATATGTTGTATTAGGTCTTCAAAAAATGGCCGCTTCTAAGCCTATTTCCTGATTGTTTTAAAAGAAAACATCCTTAATTTCACTTAACAATAATTTTGGTAGTCAAACTCTAGCACACATATTCACTCAACGGAGCGTTTTCTGCGTTCAGTTGGTGATTCACCGCTCCGCGGAGATCAGCGCTTGATATGAGCACCGAATGTCAGTGAGAAAGATTTCGAGCCTATATATTGAGACCCAGTCCGCTGTCTTCCCCTCTCAGAGTAAGTCTCCTCCTCACTCCCAATGAATACCAATCGCCTTCCTAGCTGCCTTTGCGGCGCCATCATCGCCAGTGTTGGCTTCCTCTATTTCTTGGTCTACGCAGTTCAGTTCCTTCTCTTCCATCTGCCGACCTCCCTGGATCTGGTACCCACAGCTGTGCTCGTCCTTCTCTTCGCTGTCAGCATTGCATCCTGCTATCTATATGTAGCTCTGAGCTTTGTGATTGAGATCATCACAGACGAACCACTGGCAAGTGAGAGTAGTCTAATCAAGCTCGTGGGGACTATCTCGATATGGGCTACTGCCCTGCCTACAACGGCTTTCCTACCAATTTGGTCTTGGACACAGCTCGGCTACCTTGTTGGCTTGACAGCAGTTGTACTAGGTTATCTTCAAGCCAGAAATGGACAGTCGACGCCGCGTTCCGGCACTTCTCTTGATATCCTATCCATCATCATGCTAGCGCTGATGCCAACAATGCATGCTCTTGCAGGGCCAGCGTCGTTCTCGACTCCCCTCGCTACTGCATTTGTGAAGTTTTTGGCAAGCAACATACTCGGGCTAGTCATCTACATGTTGCAGCCATTGGAGGCTTTAGGAGTTCCACATCATTTGGGGCCTAGCTTTCATGCGATGTGCTTGATGACCACCTTTGCGCTCATTGTTTATTCACACGAGGTGATGCAAGTGCTGATTGCACGAATGGCTTAATTGGGAGCTATCGTAGCCTCTTGCATCTAGCCATTCAGCCTACATCTGCGCGAAAAGGAACCGTCTTTCATCAATTGTGGCTGAGGGGCCGCTGCTACTGTGAGTTGCGGGTTGGCTTTGGAGTGTGCTGCTGGACGGAAAGCTAGGAAGTGTATGAAGAGAAAAATTGCAAGGATGTGTATAAGATATGTTTTCTTGTTATTGAATTTGTTTAGATTTCTCATTTTCGTTGTGGGTCAAAAATCTTTAGTTAAATGGAAGAAGGGACTGTTTACGTATTTCAACGTGAATATCATGGGTCACTACAGCCAGGCACACGTCTATATTATTCATTCTCAATTGCAAGACCTCAAGATAGTGGCACTTCCATTCAAAACAGGCTTGTGTAAGATACATAAATCAATGTTGACAGGCACGAAGGAGTTCATACCCAAACAGCGGCTTCTTTTGGATATTGCAGGCCTGGGAAAAAAGTCACCAAGAGTCTGAGTCTGGCAGCTGAAGCCAGACAAATTGAGTCGCATCGAGCGACCGTACGGGTAAAATCTCCAGATGCACTGCGAGAGACCTAGCACACTCGGTGTGGCATCGGGCGAAGTCGGAGCATCCAATCGACTCGAGTCGCCTCGCAGTCAGCGGCATTACGGCTGAGCAAATGCCGACGGCGGCGATGTGTCTCTGTCTTTTGAGGGCAGGGAATGCTTTGCTTTGCTACTCGGCGTCCAATTCTTTCGCTGAAACGCAACTTTATCTTAATGCGAGAGTGGTCGGAAGGCTTCTTCCCAGGCGGAATTGGCTGGAGGGGCCGTGCGGTATGACGGGAACTGTAGGAGATTCTGGCGACCATGTTGAATTATTTTGGCTGGTTGAGACGGTGGGTGGTGCTTCTCTAGAGAGTTCCCCGTCTGTAGATTAGAGAGAGTTCACTTGATGGACAAAATTTCAGAATGAGCAGCGGAACTGCAGTTAATATATATTCATAAAGAATCAGCCATACTCATCCAACCTGGCGAGGTCACTTTTGTTACTGCCATCAAATAGTGGTGAGAGTCTTGAGTGAGGATTTAGGTACACTTTTGTGAATTGTTTCACTCTTGAGCAATATCAACACCTCATGAAAGGCCAACTAACGAGCAGGCAACTTCTTTAGCAGTCTAAAACCAGCGGCCGCCAAAATCACACCCGTACGCGCTGGATATTCCTCGTCAACGACATCGCGCTGCATGTATGCTAACTGCCAGTTGCTTTTCGATATATTGAGAGCCCTGTCTACTTATTTCAGTGGGATCCATCTTACTGATGGTTTTACGAAGAAATGCTCCAGAAGGGAACTTCAGGCATCTCTGCAGATTACCACCTCCAAGAACAGAATTATTGGGCGAAAGAAAGGACCATTATGAGTTTTATTTCTTGACCTTGGAGTGACACCCAGTCGAAAGAGTACCCAGAATCTGCTGCTTCAACGAAGGCTATGCGCATAAACAAAACTTTGCTCATTCTACCACAATATGATTGCAGCCAAGGCCCTTCCAGGCAGTATTTACTCCACAAAAGACATTTTTCGGCAGTCATCAAGATCCTCAGTGAACTTCCCTGTTGGCCCGCGCACCCAGCCTTCACCTCCGATACATCCCGCAGAGACGGACATATTCTCATTCCGGGCGAAGAAAATATGAGAAGCCTCTAGCAATTCTTGGGGAGAGCTGGAGCCGAGGTCGAGCCAAAGAAGTGAGTCGGGAATCTCCACATCCAGAAAGGGAGCGGAGTCTTTCACCACCCGGCTGAACTTAGCATGGAGTGAAGTTGCCCCAGAAGAATGGTTGCGATGCGAGAAATGTCTCGATGTCGGGCTCTCCAATTCGTTAGAAAGATCGGACTTGACCAGGGAGCGAAGGCGGTTGAGGACAGTAAACTCTAGTTTGAGCTTGATACTGTACACTACCGTTTTGAGGCTGATCTGAATGAAATGGATTTTGTATTCAGCGATCACAAGAAGAAGGTTGAGGACGAGTACGAAAGCGTTGACCATGACCAGGTGGACCATGATGCGCCGCTCCGCGCAATCACGAAGCGCCATGATCGGCTTCATGATACGTGCTGCCTTTCGAATGTAGGTCCCGCACAAAACGAGGTCTTGTATACAGAAGCCTGTCAGTTGGATCCGATCGTAAATGGCAGCGGCTCGGGCGAAGTGAGTATTGCCCTGGCCAATGCCAAGGAACAAGATGCTCATTGGGATATGCAAGACCACTGCATTGATGACGATCATCCACAGAGCCCAGCGCATCTTGTATCTGTCGAAAACCACCAAATGCAGCCGCGAGTATAGGACAACAGCTTGACCGGTCACCATGGCGCACCAACCCGCAGGAATGGGATCGACATTGCAAGACCAGATGCCTGTGAGACAAACCGAACCATGGCCGAGATGGAGTGCAGCACGATGCCCCACGAGGCGACCTGCATGCTCCAGAAGTACAGTCCGCGGTATCTGTCAAAGACATTGAAAGTGACGATCGCAGTTTCAAGGGCATTGTAAGCGCCTATAGAGAACATAGATACCACCTCTACAATCTCCATGTTTGCCAACAGTATGGCCCCAGCTTCGGAGGAGAGACTCGTGAGAGTGGTATCCATCGTGGCTTGGAATTGACAATAAATGAGCCGCTCAGATTACAATAAGTTGTGGAAAGAGGATGACATGCCCAAAGTTTTGAGATAAAACTGAAATGTGGGTGTTCCGTTTGTGCTAGTATATCTTGGGCTGTAGCAAAGCATCCACTAATAAATTTGTCTGACAAGGAGACTGAGAAAGCGAAGATTTTGTCGTGCGTAGGACCAAAGGCCCTGGGGCGAGACGAGTGAGCTTGGTCTACAGGGCATCCGATGTTGAGTCAACCGTTGTTTGCTACCCGGCTTCCAAGGGCATTTGACCAACGAAAACAAAACATGATGCTTTCTTTATACTTCCTGGGCGTTATTTTCCTACCCTGTGCAGTCAACACCCTATTTTCGATTACCCAACGATCTAACCCAATTCTATCCCCACGACAGATTGACAAGTCTTTTGAACCAGGGCAACTCGGAGTCTTTCAAAAGGAGCACACCAATTTAAGCCTTACCTTAGATGAGTCAACCAGATCACGATTCTTTCAAGACATTTTTCTCGCTCCACGGTATGTTGACACTTGATTCCATCCAACCTATTCGTCCGTGCAAGATCTCCTAGATCTGAGGAGAATCAAGAATGCCGCGACTTGTGCAGGGGTGGTCAGATTGGGAGAAAGAAAACCTTTTACGATGGCTAGAGGCGCGAGGAAGCCTATCTTGGAAAGACCTCTCGCGCGGTTATTATCGAGAGTTCAAAATTAGGCGTTCTCCCGGGTCTTTGAAGGGACAAAAAGATCGTCTTTTACGCCGGAAGCATTCTTCAACGCAGAAGCTGGTCGGAAAACCACGTTCACCGGGGCCTAAGCCGACAAATCGAGATTCTTTATCAATGCACCAATCTAAACCCTATCAAACACTATTCCAGCGGAAATTTGAACGACGGTTGACCGGATTTCCAACGATATATGCTGAAGGTTTATCAGACATGGGCGAAGAAGAAAGAGATACTTTACCTGACATCTGGCAATTTGTTCATCGTCGGTGCGAAGAGCAAACAGGGAATTGAGATATTATACCTCCTCCGGAACGAAACCAAGAGTGGGATGACTGTCAAATGTCAATGTGTGCTATCTGTTGTCGGAGGCACACAGGGGAAACATAAATCAAGAGTTCACTGTGGTCGTAACAAAGTACTGTTTCAACGTGATGCTGTCGCGGTGCTCTTGTGACAAAAAGCCTCGCAGGCCCACAGTGATTCATCCCAGAAAGTCTCAACCGAGGGAAACGTGCGACTAGGATTAGACACTACCACATCCAGATTACTTATTGGTTGATCTCATCTGAGCCAAGTTTCATGAGAAGGGCTCCTCGTGGGAGTGGAACTAGACCTACAGATATTCAAGAGATCCTCCCTATGATATAAGTCGCCCGAAGAGTCTGACTTCTGAATCCAACTGAGCGGGTATCAGGACTACAGGCCGGTTCACGAAGAAGTACTGCTTCCCAAGCCGAGTCCTTATAATAGTACTTTCTATCGCTTTGTCCATAGTAGCCGGAGCCAGACTGCACTAAAGCTCTTACACTAGGGTCTTTGTCAAATCGAATGAATTTGCTGTCTGCGGGAAAGTAGCACTATGGCCCATCACACAGTTCCATGCTCCCAATAGCGCTGTTCCGTGCTGTTCCCGATCACATCTTTCTATATTACCAGGGAATTGACCTCAATTTCAAATTGATGTCAAGCAGCTGGATCGGGCACTACGGCTCCTGCGACGTGGGTAGGCAAAGGATCCGTTTCTGAGGCTGCATGGCTAGCGCATGCGCCCGTCCCGCGCTCTAGGGCTCCGCTCGAACGAATGAAAGCCTCTAGGGCACCCTCATGGCCACTATATTCTTAATCAGTAATAGTCAAATAAGCGTACAGAGTTTCTCTCGCCAAGCAAAACAGGACTTCTTGAAATCTCTGTTTCTATTCTTCATCCACCATTCCATGCACCCGAGATGTGACAAAGCGCCGCACTGTATGCAGCGTAGGACCACTGTTTCCTTTGCGTCTCCCTCATCCTCGATCAGACAAAAGAGGCAGTGTATATCGGCGATGCCATCGCTGTGACCTAGACTATGAAGCTCTATGCCTTGCACGCCGGTCCGAATATTGGTGACGCACGATAGGAAAGCGGGATGGTCGGGCGAGATATTCGACGGGACATTGTTTGATCTGAGTGTTGCAGCTGTGACAAACGACCCCATGCTCGGAGATGGCAGGCTTGTAGCAGGCGTGTGGGGTGGTGTATTGGGCGTGCCTGATTGGACGGTGGGGTTGAGCTCCGATGTCTGAGCGACTGAGGTTCTCGAAGACAAATGCGCTATCGGCGGTGGAGGCGAACGGCTGGTACCACTGAATGGCATCGAGTTTCGAACAGCGCCGATACCATCTTTGAGCAACATCATCGGTTTGCCGGCTCTGGTGCCAAATCGTGCACAAGAAGCACTTTGCAATATCTCGAAGACAGAGCTCCAAGGTCGCCAAGTCCAGTGGGCGTCTAGCTAGGCTCATCAATTTTTGGTGGCCCTTTTGGACCACCGATAATGTAATACGACTCTTGCAAGAAGCACCCTTGATAGTGCGACCGCAGCAATTCCTGCTCTCTTGAGAAGGAATATTCATCTCGCAAGTAGTCAGAGGATCCCATTGAATGTTAGACATGGCGTGGCTGCGGGCGGATGGGATAGGAAAACGAGAAAAGAGGCAGATGTCTTTCAAGAGACCAGGTTCGAGTCGGATATTTATAGTCACCTGGGTTGCAAGTTGATTTTCTTTATAGCATGTGTATCAGATAGTTCCTGAAATCTACATTCTATCCATACAACTATGCCTGGTATACGGGCCTAACCGGTCGATAGTACTGCGCGTGGGAACGGTGGGAATAATCCCAGGATCGGACAAGCTCCCAGAATGTATCATCTGGATCCCAGGAGCGGGATTGGAGCACCTAGTATTCTAAGTCTTGGTTCTGAGACCATTCTCCGGCTGATAAGTAACAGCCCATACGCTACTCTCCCTCACAAGCTACAGACCCAATAAAAGGTTTGTTCGGTCCCCCTGTGGCCTACCTGGTTCGGCTTGTATTTCACCACCCGAGTCATTTATAAATACACTGGGGAGATCTTCACTAGCTCCTCTTTTCACCGCGACTATCCAAGCTAGGCTTTTATCCTCTTTCCAGGTTTTGACCTGTTTAAAATTTGACACCCCTCAGTTCTAATTTCACGCCTGTCCTTTGATCATCAGGCATACGAGAACGAGATGGCGTGTGTACCGAACGAAGCCCCTCCAGACTATGCAGAGTGCATCAGGGATTCTCCCCTGGACATTTCTTCCAACCCGTCCGAGGCCAAACTCCGAAGAAAGCTTTTTTCAAGTGCCTCCACCAACAACCTCATCCTATCCTGAAACACCACATCGTGCTCTTCGGAGCAGAAGACTGAGAAAAAAGGTCGCAAAGGGGCTTAAGCTTGCAGTTGATGCCACTGTGATGGCTGCTGCAGTTCCTGTTAACGTGGTTGGAAATGTGGCTTATGAGGGAGGGAAAGCTGCTCTCCACATAGTTGCGGCTCCAGTTCTGGTTTGCGTGTTTTGCTTCTGTGTGGATGATTTTGATTACTGAGATTTTGAGTGCTCTGCACTTTGTGATAATTCCACTGGACATTTTATAAGATTCTCCGAGGGGCATTTCCAAGAGAATGGCGAACAAGAATTCTGCGCTGTCTTCTGGGTGAATTCAGGCCTTCATTTTATAAGCAGTGAATTGATCATGAAACCGTTAAAGATATAAATGCTATGGCAGAGAGCTCGTAGGCTCCTAGATCGCTTCCCCGCTCTACATGTTTATTTTCAACGCGTCCCGGTTCTACCATTGGGAGAAGTGCGCATTTTGTATTTATCTTGTTCCAGTCGTTTCCAATGTTCCTATAAATGCGTTAAATTGTTGGGAGTCCCAACTACTGAGCCAATATTAGAACAAAATCCTTCAAGCTTGGATATCGCGTTGGAAGAGTACCCGGGAGCCCTCTTCCTAGACAAGGCCAGACAAGGCAAAATGTAATCACTCTCGCTCCGAACGCCCAAATCTCTCCAACTAAATCGATCTAATGTGCATGCAGCCAACTGTCAGGCTAATGAAAAAGGAGCATCAGTCTCGAAAATCATCAATTCAATTGTAGACTAAGATTACCTACGACTTCAATCACACAAATCTGGTATCCATCAATACCATCTCGACCAGTCAAGCTATCACTCACAGCCTCGCGGTCGGCTATTCTCCAATCTTGTCGAACGTCGGAGCGGGGCAGTGCTATCGACATTCCGCGTCAGCCGCGCCGACCGACGGGGCTGTTCATGCCGTGCTGGTGCACGGGGTGACCGAGCAATGCGGCCCTGAGAAGTCGTTGTATCCTCGGTGGGCAAGGAGTTTCCTAGCCGGCAATCATGCACCGTACCTATGTTGCGGTCTACCGTCGACGCGCTGGCGGAACCAGTATCGGTCCGACGCCTAATTGGACGGATGAGGGCATCTAGAGCACCATTACTGCGGCTGCTGATTGTCAGAATCCTCCCTCCATAACGTTGAAGCGAGTGAACTTACCAAACACAACAAGAGGTGCCAAAGCCTGTGTCACGCTGGTCCAGCCAGAGTTCCATGCAGGACAGGTGCGATAGCGCGTGGCATTGTCGACATCGGAGAATCACATTTTCATCGGTCGTGTCTCCATCTTCCGCCAGGCAAAAGGTACAATGAATGTCGTTCACATCATGACTCACAGCGAGACAGTGTAATTCCAGGTCTTGAATTCCTGCCAAAATATTCGCAACAGACACAATGGCAGGTTGTACCGGCGAGACAGCCCACGGCACATTGTTTGCACGCAGCATCGCGGGGGATACATAAGGCTGGATTGCTTGCGGGAGCTCGCGCTCAGTCTCACTGGTATCATATGAGACACCATGGTCCAACTGATGGGTTGCAGGTTGGCGCAGGTCACTTTCCTCGTGGCTTAGCGTGGTCGCGTGTTCCAGCACAACGTTGCTGCCGAGCTGATTGCGAACAGCGGCATCATACCAGCGTCGACTAACCTGGTCAGCTTGCCGATCTCGATGCCACCTGGAGCACAGGAAACGAGTTGCAATGTTGTGCAAAATCGGCTGCAGGGTCTGCGCATGAAAAAGTGCCCGAGCAAGGCTTCTCAGCTTCTCCTTTCACTGCTTGAGCATCTTCGCAGAGATCCTATTCTTACAGCGAGCACCTCGCTCTGTGATGCCGCAGCAGGTAGCCTGGTGGGCTAGATCCTCACCAATCTCACAAACACTGACTGGGTTCCAAAAGGTAGACATGGCGAAAAGACCAGATGTAATGTAGATCGACAATCAAAGATGAGACAAGTAGTAGGCATAGAATTTATCACTGGGCTCTCTGAGTGCCTTCTAGCTTTTTATAATTCCTCCGGCTCCTGCCTAGTGTGGAATGTACGCTAGAGGGTAAGTCAGGAGCGGGGCCTTTGCATGGTCCAACTTGCTCTAATAGACTACCTGCAGGCATTCCAGTCCATCGAGGCAGCGGATTGCACCAACTAGCCTACACATTAGACGCAAAGAGATTGGCCCGCTGTGAGAAGCCTTTGTTGAAGATGCGAGGAGTCCATGGCGTTCCGCACAAACGCAGGGCTCCAGGAAGATCATTGAGATTCCTGGGAGCAGAAGAGTTCCTGGGAACAGCCTCTCTGTTCTACAGGCCTCATTTTCCGTGATTCTACCCCAACCGAATTCCATCTAGCTCAAATGTAAAGTAGAGGATCAGCCAGAAGAATGAAATGCTTATCATAGTGGCTTCTATAAATACTGACCTGCAAGGTCGAGTATTGCTCCTCCATCCATAAGTCTGTTCGGCGCCACTATCATTTCATCCGAAACAGCCTCTCACTACATGTCGGAGATGTCGCACCACCTCTATACCATCGGTTTGCCATCTTATTCCAGTGTCAGTGCGGGTGCTGACTACCCATTCTAGCAGGCTCTTCGCCGTCAGAGCGTCCCGCTGCTCATTGCTGCAGACGGTCTATTCAGAATGCACTGTTCTTTGCAATTGCTCGGGGAGATGTGCAAGCCGTGATTCAACTCCTTCAGCACGGCATCGATGTCAATAGCAGCGGACCGAAGGGCCAGCCCACGCTCTTCACGGCTCTAGAGTATCAATAGCACAAGATCTTGGAGATCCTCTTGGGTGACCCGCGAATCGATATTCACATCACAGATGGCCAAGGTCACACTGCGCTCCATCTGGCGGTGATATACGACGATCATCTTGCAGTTCAGATCCTCTTGCAAAGCAGATCTCTCGATGTCGATCGGTCCAACTTTGCAGGGGACAGCGCACTGCTTCTCGCTGCCAAGACGTACGTACGGTGGCTTCGAGCCCAGACGCGACGCGATCCTTGAGCTGTTGGTTTCTCACCCACAATCGATGGTGAGCCAGTGCGACGCCAAAGGCCGCTCCCTCCTGCAGTATGCAACTTTCACGTCGAACCAGAGGCTGATCGCGCAATTGGCGCGAAGCTGTCTTGATTGAAGGCCCTGGAAGCCTTGGGTCTTTCCCCTTAGGTCAGAACACGAAAGCCGAGCTGCAGAGGGACGGCATGAAGTGACCGTGCCACGAGTACCCACAGAGCCGGAAGTAGTTGAAATATGACTAGACTAGAAGGCCATGGTGCTATATTGAAAGGCCAATTCCCTCGGCTGTTTGAGGTTATTGGGAAGATGCCGGGCGCGACGCGTCCCACGGCCATGCGCGGGCCGACCGCAGAGTGACGGAGTCTACACGTGGTCCGCCTTTCATCAACCAGACCAACCTTATGATTACCAGACTACGTGACAGCGGGATATCTATACCCAAGTGCCTTGGAGGCTCTGTAAGATCTGCAGTCGCGATCAAATTCGGAGATTGAGGTTTGTCATTTGCTAGAAATCGTGACATGTTATTCTAATATGATTGCTTAAAGTCTGAGATATATATTTCGTATGGCTTAATGTTGAGGAATTTTATAACCCAATAAACAGGGCAGAACTGTGTTTATGAGGCAAATGAGTTGAAGGAGGATGAATATTCGTACTTTCTAATTAGAATTTCGATGTAAACAGACTACATACAAGAATTAGAATAATATATTTCCAGGTCCAGGATTTGGAAAACCCGACAGGGGGTTCAACTGAAGTTGCCGAGTTGAACCCCCAAAGCCACCATGATTGGTCAGTTTGCCATGCGGAAGTGATTGCCACCGCCTTCTTGAACCACGTCAACAAAGCCTGGCCCGCCAACTGCCACCGTCAGGGCTGGTCGTCAGACCAGGGTAGCTGACTGTCCAACTGGCCCTCACATAATCACCTGAAACGAATGTACGCATTCGCCACTCTCATCCAGGGCTGTCACCTCGCCTGTCACGTCTCACTGAATATTCTCAGATCCCAATACCAAAGACTCGACCAGCTCGGCCTTCAATCGTATACGACGCCAAATTTCCCCTAGATCCACTCGGAAGATGGCTCTGAAGCTGTCGGAATATCCAATTCCTGCATCCAAATGCGTTCCGCCCTATCCTCCTCCACCCTTGATGCATCCAAGGCTGCCCAGAGAGCCAATGTAGCCCGGCATAAGCGTGCATTGATCGGGGCGAATTGGTCAGAATGGAAGTGTTCTTCCAATACAAGCTTTTGTGTGATGTCAACCACGGCTGTCGCTAGATGGCAGAAATTCACGCAACAGGTGCGGTAGAACTCATTCTCCTGAGCTTGCTGATCGCGCTGGCTCCGCTTCTCAGTGATTGGGTCTGGCGGGGGTGCCACGCTCTTTGCTGTACTGAGGTGTGTCTTTGTCGTCTCTAATGCCATGGTCGTTCTCCCCGCCACAAAGATCCGATGGTCCAGTGGTGTAATCTCGGGAAGATCATCCCGCGGGGCAGGCGTAGCCGTTGAGGAGTCTGGCCGTGGTGTATCTGGCGAGCGACTGTATACACTTGTTGCAATAGACGGAGGACGGGCCATCAGTGAATCTAGCACAGAGACTTCTATCCGGCGCTTGGTGTCTTGTAGCCACGGCTGATCACGCTTATATCACGCGCAAACGGTAGAAAACAATGGGGTCTTATGACAGGCAGTCCTGTGGGTGATACACTCTAGTATTAATTCCTAGGGCGGGGAAATCGGTGATTGAGCGGGCCGCATTTTCCAGTGGGCTGTTGGCTAACGTCCATGGTCGCTGAGCTGTGCTACATAGCAATTTCCGAGTCATCTGACTCTAGGATGGGGGGTATAGCAGTCTGGCAAAGTAACTTTACTCAAATTTTCTATTTCTCCCCCACTCAGTCTTGGCAAAGCTAGCCCGATGGCCAGCCTAATTTTTGTGCTCTCTGCCGCACAAATGCACTGCTTAAAAGATCCACTGCCCGAGCATGTCTATTGAGTATCGCCAAGCTGAAAGCGCAGTATCCGTAAGGATTTTGAACTTGGAGATCAATCTGTGGGTGGCGCAACAGCCGTTCAACACATGCAGTATATTCGCTTGCAGCAGCAAACATGAGGGCTGTGAAGCCCGAGGGCCCAACCTCATTCATTGCGATTTCACCTTGCGAGAGAAGAAGAGACACAATATCTAAGTGTTGGTTGATGACAACTACGTGAAGGGGCGAAGTTCCAGAGGGGGCTTTTACGTTGATCTGAATGGACCTCTGGGTCAACAAGTTCTGGACTGCCCCGAGCGAACCTGCCCGACACGCGGCCCACAGCGGGGAATAGCTCGACGTGGCGTTGATACATATTTTGGGTTGTCTCAGAAGCATCTGTAGCAAGCGAGGGCTTTGATGCTCCGCTGCTCGCGCAAGAGGGGTAAGACCGCCGTCATCGGCATCATTCAGACGGAGGCCATCCTGGTCCAACAGCAGCTGCACTAGCTCCTCATTCTGCAGGTCTACCGCGTGCCACAGCGCCGTGCGCCCTCTAGAATCCTGGTGATTGATGTCAAGCTTTGGGTTGAGCAGTAGGGCTTCCACTATCCGACGCGAAGACCTTCCCTTGAGGATTTCGACCGCGAGAAGTAGAGCTGTATTCCGGTGAGCGTCACACCAATTGACATCCAAGTGGGGGTCGCGGGCCAAGATCTGCACTGAGATATGGTCTTCCTTTCGGACTGCGAGGTGTAGCGCATTCTGCCCAAAGCAATCGTCGATGCTGACATCCACGCGGGAATCGGTCAGAAGATAGTTTAGAATGGCGTGCTCCGAGTATCTCACTGCATACATCAAAGCGGACATGCCATCGGTGCATCGGTCATTGACATCCAGCGCTGGGTACTGCAACAGGCGTTCAACGATGGCAAAATTGCCCTTCGCGACCGAGATTGACAACGGCCCTCGACCTTGAAAGTCGCAAATATGGGACAGCCGTGGGTGATGTTCCAACATGAGATTAACTGCTTGTGGGTAGCTCATCTCAATGGCGAGCAGAAGCGTGCTCATCCCACGGTACTCGGAGTTGGGATTTACCTGATAAAGATCCAACAACTGTCGTGCAATGTCTAGTCGTCTGTTGAATATGGCTCGATGAAGGGGTGGCATCTCATCGCCCTGGAGATTGTCAAAGAGAGCCGCCGCGCCAATGGTCGCAGTTTTCTGGCAGAATGCGATCAAATTAACGATGTCATTTTTGTCAAGGCTCTTGAAGATCCAGAGCAAGAGTTCATTTGGGAGGTTGTCCAGTATGTTTCATATGTAGTATTAGAGCTGATGTAGGTTGACAGGAGGGGTGGCAAAGCTTTATAACACGCTATAGCGCTTGTGTACGCCGACTTGAACATACTGTGACCGAGCCCAGGGCTTCTCGTATGGCAGAATCGTCTTTGCCAGGCTGGGAAAGGTTGATGCTAATCCTGGGAGCCCCTTTGTCACTGGGAACCCGTGTGCCATTCCTGGAGACACTGGTACTGATCCTGGGAACGGCCATGGCCTCTCCAGGAACTGTGAAGACGATCCCGGATCTGAGTTACCGAAATTCAGGTGCGAAAATTCGTCGCCAAAATTTTTCTTCCTCTTTCATTCGGAAACCGTAGATATACATCCTACCCAGGCAGGATCATGTGTGCTATACGCAACGTACATAAGTAACACAGACTGCCTCGCCTAGTCGACGTATTTGTCCGCCATGCGTTAAAAATGACATCGGAAGACCATGTCCAGTCGATCCTGATATCCGCTCTCTCTCTGGCTAGTATCATGAGGCTGTCCCTGATAGTTCGGTTCCAACAGCCCTGGCATTTCTACCACCTTGACCTTGCTTTATCGGCTGCGTCTAGTATTTCGTTCGTTGTACTTTCCGGTCTTCGCTGGGGCGAAATATATGCAGTCTGGTGTCAAACACTGTTGTGGATGACATCGGCTTTTCTCACCGGACAAGTGGTATGTCTATAAGTTATTATTCTGGCGCAATGAGCTGACTCTCTAGTTTCTCCGGGTCCATTTCCAACAATGCGAGAACCCATTTACCCCATTTGCCCTACTTAGAACATATGCATTATACGCCGTGATCTCCAGCCTGGCAAAGATCGCAAGCCCCGTCGTTGAAGCCTTTCGTTCGACCGCAGCTCACCCGGTGTGTCTGTTCGTTCTCGCCGTTGACTACTTGATGGTGACGGTGTGGTATCTGTGGCTTCTTGGGCAGGCAACTCAAGCCCGGACTCGCCTTCGAATCATTTCTTTCTGCGTGTCAGCCTTGTTTGCGATCCTAGTGGCAGTTGCAGTGCTAGGCACTCTATGGAAGACTTGGGACATTGCGCTAGAGGTAGGTTCTGTCTTGCAAAGAAAGAATACGGTGGCTGACTATTTCAGATCCAAATGATACTGATCCTTTCCTGGACCTTGTCAGCCCAGCTCATTGAAGCAAGGTAGACTGCCATGCGTCTTCCGCTCACGGATCGAACAGAGCCGAAGAATTCTACCACTCCGTATCATACAATGTGTGGTAAATAATACTTGGTGCTATAAGATGTAAGCTTATTGGTGAATGCTTCTTGATAGTGACGTCGTAATGGCTTTACCTGCGTGTCAAACGCGATTCACGCAGATTAGTACGGTGGGCGAGTGCAAAAATGATTTAATAGAGGATCTATCTTGTCGTGAGCTTATAATTTATCTTGATGGTTTGATTTCCCCCCATTCCATCCCCTCGCTTGGCTAGTAATAATATCACTGTTAGAGAAAGCCACACAAACGGCGGAATGCGGTACAAAAGAAATCTCTATCTCAACTGTATTAGGTATCTATTGGCAGCGCACAACTGTCAGCCCCCCCATGGGGGAGAAACATGGAATACCAAGATCCGCGACGAAGAGCCTGTGTAGAGATGAGCATCAGCTTTGATATAGACTCTCGTGACATAGTTACTGACCGTAGACTGGTTGCTTCAGTTGCCGAAATAGTCTCACGTGGAACATTTCAATGACCACAACTCTGTCTGCTTGTGATCGCAGGATCTCTGGTATATTCGCAAGTGTGGCTTCAAGGGCCTCCACCGACGGGCCGTCCTGAAAGGCCTTGGCACAAATGCTACCCAAATTGTGTGCACTGTCTTCTACAGGCGGCTCTGATGGTTGGAGTAGTTGACAAATCCTTGACAGCAACCTTGGGTCTAACGAGAGAAAGGCCCGCTGGAAATACTCGTATGTGTTGGCATCATTATCGTAATAGACTTCCTGGGGCATCGTCAAAGCCACTCGTTCTTCCTCCAACTGAAAGGCCTGGTGAAGTCTGAGCACCATGGTCTTCATTTGATCAACGCAAATGCTGTCTTTAAATAACGGCGATTGGCTCAGTCTGGAAGCCATCAGCGTGTAGAAAGATTCAGTACTCGGCCAGATGTCTTTGGACTCATAGTCTTTGATGTCTCTTGGTTGCAATCCCGTAAAGGTAAGACAGACTAATGCGATGCTTGCTCTCGCTCCAAATGGCCGATACGGATACCTTTCGATTTGAAAGCATTCTTGTAGAAAGCTCGAGCCAGGCAGCGCTTTTGTCCCAAGCATGAAAAGTATCCATCGAGCCTGCAACTCTAGGTCATTTAGAGACGCCGTCTGCAAGCAACGGAAATCGGTCAAAGCATCCCGCGTACTGATCAACCACCATAAGAGTCCATCATACTGCAAGACAAATTCTCTTTCCCAGTCAGCTGATTGACGAAAGACAATTCGCCATATGGCCGCATCATCTTCAGGAAGCATTGCAGCGATGAAGATGTAGTTCAACACCAACAGAAGTTGATGGAAAGTCGGAGGTGATGCGTCAGGTGCGTCGATGGGACCAAGAATCGGAAATTGTAACGGAGGTGGCAGGACGACCTGGTCATCTGAATTAGAAGCGTATACTTGACACCAGGCATGAGTATAGGGCCAACTCACCGAGAGTTTCATTTTGGAATATGCCGTCGTAGCAGGAGGACCTGGACAAGGCAAATTACCATTGCACTGAGTATCTTTGTCGTAATCGTTGTCTTGTTTTGCATTCAAAGCCGTGAACGGGATTGTTTCTCCAGGGCTTTGAGTGTCCACCGACCCCAATTTATCGGAGGGTCCCGAGGCACTGGCCTGCCCTATTCGAGGCGACACAGTCTGCGAGCCTTGGCGGCTGGTCTTGTAAGTGCAAGTCTTTGGAGCCCTCCCTCCAAGACAACCTTTGCATGAAGGTAATTCCCCACTGCATCGCGTTTTGGCGTTTCGGCACGGCTCACAAACCAAGCTTTGGTGCCCACTCGTTCTGTAGAAACAGAACTGACCTTTACCACGCACAACACAGGATTGGCACGACGGAAGCTCGCGGCTACATCGGATCTTTGCCGTCCGACACGACTGACAAGCCCGAGCAGACGTGGGACCACTAGGGGGTGGTGAGCGACTTTGCTGAGGCGAATTTACCGGAGAGGTGGTATACATCGGGACTAGCGATGGTGGAAAGAGAGCAGAAAGGGTCGTAACAGCCCTCAGACATTAATCAGTGGACTATTTATTGTTGGAGGCGTGATCAGTATCAAAGTGGATAGATAGACATCCGTCTATCTGATAAACTCAGCCTCAGATCTTGTCAACGTCAGGTGTCCACAGTATGGGAATGTTGAAGCGATTTCTTTTGGGAATGTTCGCTTGCTTCCCAGGAGCGACCTAGTTCCCAAAACCTCCTTTGAAGGTCCTAGGATCGGCAACGCTAAATTATGAAAGAAACCCATCCGCGGATTTGATTGATCCGGGAGATGTAGACTTCACTGCATTACTTGGAATAGATCCGAGCTGACGGCGATCTCTCAAACTTGGGACAACCCTCTCAAAGTAGATCTCCCAATACCAATCGAACAGCGTGGCTCCTCAGCCCGATTAGGTCACGTACCTCTCCGCTTTTTGAAGACGAATTTTACGAAAGAACGCTGACCGGGGAATGTAGGTGGTTTCACAGGTATGGTTTGTAGATGTAGCAAGTCTCCAGGCTGCGACGCTGAGGTAATATCAATAACCACCGAGAGGCCATCTATAAAGCTGGAAAACGCACTTCTTCGATCTTACATGATTCATTCCGGCTTTCCAATTCCTCTCCAAAACATTCGATGCTGCGCGAGATTTTTGTTGGTTTTCCTCGTGTTTGGGGTCGCGGAAGAAATCTTGATGAGCGTCCTAGCGAGATTTTTATCAACAGCCGTGTGCAGGCAGAATCACAGCTGGCCCACCCAAGCATCACTTCTATGCAAGAGCTCAATGGCGAAAACATGGCCGACCAGGTGTGGTACGAAAATCAAAGCGGGAGCGTTTCTGCGGATGCGGTGGCTCCTCACGAGTGAAATCGCCTCACTGATCCTCTTGAGAGCGCAGCCTCGACTTTGACCTTCCACGTACAGCCGGGGAGGCAGGGCGTTAAGGTCCGCCGTCTGGAAATCGCCACAGACGTCGATGACATATACTGCATATTTTGTCTCGCCGAGAATGGGAATCCTACCGATGAAAACGTAATTCTGCACTGTCGACGCTGCCAAGCATTGTCACACTTGGGTTGTATGGAGGAGTGGTTGAAGCAATGCAGAGCTAAGATGCACAAGTCATGCTGCGCCTGGTAAGTGTAATGAATGCGTCTCTCGAAAAATGGTTACTAATAAGATGCAGCCGAAGTGAAGAGCCTCAAGGCGCCCTGTTACGCGGGTGGCCATCGCAGATTCGAATAAGCACTGATGCAGCCAGAAGCTGGAGTGTCACTGCAGTTACCCCATGCGATATTCCGTCAGCGCATTCATCCCCCTCTGCATGTAGATCCACCCCGGTGCAAATTTTGCAAGCGGAAGCAGTGCAACCAGACAGGCATCGAACGCTGCCCTGCAGGTCAGCTAGACTGGTCAGAGAGGAACGCCCATGTGTGCCACTCCGCCGATCACCCAGATTTCGAAGTAATCAAATGGGTGGCTTTGAATGAGAGCGGATTTGATTTGGCCTCATGGAAGGCGACCCGTGAATCGATCAGAAGCTCCAAGCTGAAGCGGAAATCAAAGACCAATTGTACTCTCAGTGTCAAAAAAGTTAATCCTCTGTGGCCCCAGGCTACGCTAGCATCTGCTTTGCCATTTGTCTAGACTTGAGGATACTTTAGCCCGAACTTCGAGGAGTTGAGCCAGCCATTTCCACTAGCGTACTTTAGGCGCATCAGCTAATAGAGAGCAATACGTGCGGAGTCGTTTAAGTGTACTATTTCGCACATCAGATTGTATCCTGTTGAGAGGAAACAGTGTTCTTTCGTGAGAGCAACCATAATTCCTAGCATTTGAGAGTGGCCCTGTCCTGTCGGCTTGAATTGTCGCTCAGGGGTCAGGCAGCGGTAGACGGCATCGTACGGAAGGTCAAGTGTGCGGCGATGGCAAATAGATCGGTAAATGTTCAATTTGACCTCAAAAAGGGCAGGTGCTTTCCCCAACAATCACTTGTTGAAATACCGAGAGCCGCCTGGTTTTATAAAGGCATTTCACAAGCACGCGAGAATGAAATTTTGCATGTGGCAATAGGTCCCTAGACCTGCCTGTAGAAATCTTGCATCAGACATAGCAGAACCACCCGCTATGATGGGAGAGCGACTTCCTTTCCTGGCCTCTCCTCCGACCGTGATTCGCTGCAGTGAAACCACCACCGCACTCGTTCTAGATCAAAGTAGACAAGTAGTTTATGATTGATGAAGGCACCCAGCACGGTAAGACCTCCATTTGAGACGCCTCTAATGTCAAAACCGTGACTTCAAGCTTTGTGGTCGCGTTGAATGCCCATCCTCCAGAAAATCCCACGAGAGCCCACCCGGCAGCGCTCGTGCCAACAATTCCATTGTGCGGTAGTGTATTGGTATCTGGTAGAGCCCGGCCCTTTCGTTCTAGACAAAAAAGCTAAGAGAGTAGGTAAGTTCGAATACCACACCGTTAAAGCCCTACCAGGGCGAGTTGCGCTTGTAAGCTACCCCAATGGAAGTCAGACTAGTTGACCTTTCGCTTCAAGAACGCGGTAAAATCCTATAATTCGCTATGCTGCGGCATTGTGTCTCCATCATGTATGGAAGAACTCTCATGAAGTCAGGTTTTCGATTGGCCTTGCTGCTGATCCCACTGTTGAACGTTGCATCCCTGCCAACGCAGCGCCCTCAAAATTGGTTACGAGTCTGTTTGCTCGATGAGCTTGAACTGGGTCAAGACCCAAATTGCCCTCCCTAATGCAATATTGGGACCATTGAAGCTCGCTGCTGCCCTGCTTTCTATTTGTCTTCGACAGGTTTCCCGCTGACAAACCTTGATATCATTAAGTGTGCGAGATGGTGTAGCCCCAGCGAGAAGACAAGATAAAGAGAAACTAGCCGCTGGAAAAGCGCAAAGTAAAATGATCCAATCTTCGTGGAAATTCAAAGTTCTTGCATTGATGCTCACTTGTGAGATGAACTCATCGCGAAGAAGGCCGGCGGAGAGGCGTTTGGGAAATGACGTCACGCATGCACTAGCGAAGCTAGCTGTGGCAAGTCCAGTCAGCGGCGCGTCGGGCCAAGTCTGCTTCCGTCAATGTAGGCCGTCTTGAAAAATCACAAGACACAGGAAAGGTTGGCACTGTCTTTATGTTTGAAATTGCTTCATAAGTCGGCCCACCGGAAAGTCCACGCAGCCACATGGACACGACGCTGGCGTGTTGAGGCTGGTGCCGGAACGGAGCCGCATCATTGGAATTGGCTCCTCAGATCTCCATGTGTCGAATCAAGTTTCCAATCAACTTGGTCCTCTCGAGCATGCGGCATCATGTCTGAACTCTGCAAACCAACAATCAATCATACCGCAGACGCATCATAAACGGCAATGCCGACAGCGGGATGCGCACCAGAATGCCTATGAGGAGTCCTAATCACTAGCTCGGCTGCTAGACAAATGTCACGCCCGCCTTGAACAGACTTGGCTCACACCGTGCCGAGAGCACGTCTCTTCAGCATCTTCACAGATGCCGACGCGGAAGACGGTGATGCAAAGTGGCCTTGTCCAATGACAATGGAGATCCGCCATCGGAATGCATAATGCGGACCCAACAGCAGGTCGTGTCCTAAACTGTTTATTTCGTGTGGGTGTTGACTTGGGTGAGGTGAGACAGGGGGCCACGCTAGCTATCCACTGTTATCACTTTTCCGAACTGCGGCCTCACCCGGATTTGATTCATTGCCCAAGCGCCCTCGAGCCGGGAGGCGGGGCCCCCCAGAGACCCCCTTCAGGGGGGTCGGCGAGGCAATTTCCAATTGCCGGGGGTGCCTCCCATAGGCGACGGGCAAGATCAACCCACTATCGTCGTTTTGGGACTTTCTCCAATCCTCTTGTCGGGAAAATGCGACAAGAGTCAATTATTCAGATCTAGATGGGAAGGCCGTCTCCAACGGTAATCTCGAGAAGTAAAATTCAGTGTTTAGACGTGTCATGGCGACGTCCAGTGTTTCCATCCGAGCCGCGCGGGTTATCGTAACGAAAGGTCCCACGCTAGGATTACGGGCTCTATGATTCTAAGGCTCTGTTTGGAATCAACCTCGTTCTATGGTGCCAAACCTCCACTTTGAAATATTTGGAACGATGTTGTGAGGAGAGATTCAGTTGATCAGAGCCTGGAGGTGGATTCTTGAAAGGCCCCCATTCCGAAATCCCCCGTGGGAATATCAGGCGCTAACTAGGAAGAACGTGACCAAGTTGTCCGCTCCCTTCGATCGCTCCCAATGTGCCCGCGGGAACCATTCTAGACTTTCCCTCCGGGGGTTGTGGCGTTTGGTTCGGGCGGGCCTTCGGTATACGGGGCCACCCTACGGGTGTCGGCCCTCTCCGGCCCTAGGCGGGAGTTGAATGTGGAAGCCGGGTCAACCTGTTGTGATTCCAGGCTGGTGCAGAACAGGAACGGAGCCGCACCATCTGAGTTACTCCCGATGTATCTATACCAAGAGCCAAGTTGATTGGAAAATGTTCCATTTTAACCTTAGGAAAGGGCAGGTGATTTCCCCAATCATCACTTGTTGAGACATGTTATGCACTGAAAGCCGCCTGGTCACATACGAACATCTCGCAGACACCCGAGAATGGATTTTGATCATCTGGCAATAGGTCCCTCTGTAGACCCGCCTGGGAAAATCATGCATCCCTCATAGTAGAATCACCCGCCATGAGTAGAAAAGCGACTTTCTTGCCTGGCCTCTCCTCCGACCGATATTTGCCGCAGTGAAACCACCACCGAGGTCATTTTGGAGCATAGTAAACAAGTAATAGCTGACTGATACAGGCACTCAGCATGGTCAGACAGCATCCGTTAGAGAAGTCTCTAGTGTCAAATCCGTGACTTCAAGCTTTGAGGTCGCGGTCAATACCATTCATTGACGCAACCTCAGGATATCCCGCTAGAGCCCACCCGGCAGCGCTCGTGCCAAAAATTATATTCCGCGGTAGTGTATGGGTATCTGGTAGAGCCCAGTACCTCTTCCCTCTGGACGAGATATCTTAGCGAGTAGGTAAACTCAAATACCACACCACCAAAGCCCTATCAGGGCGAGCTGCGCTTGGGAGCTACCCCAATTGAAGTCGAACTAATTGACCTTTAGCTTCAAGAACGCGGCGAAAGCCCAAAATTTGCTATGCTGCGGCAATGTGCCCCCGTCATGTATGGAAGACCTCTCATGAAGTCACGTTTTCGATTGACCTTGCTGCTGATCCCACTGTTGAACGTCGCATCCCTGTCAACGCAGCGTTCTCAAGATTGGTTACAAGTCTGATTGCACAATTAGCTTGAATTGGGTAAAGACCCAAGTTGCCCTCCCTAGAGCCATATTCGGACCATTGGAGCTCCCCGCTGGCCTCCTTTCTATTTGTCTGACACGGTTTCCCGCTCACAAACGTTGAGATTGTCAAGAGCGTGAGCTGGTGTAGCCCCAGCGAGAAGAGAATATAAAGAAGAATTAGCCGTTGGAAAAGCGCAGATGAGAACGATCCAATCGTCGTGGAAATTCAACGCTCGTGCATCGATGCTCACTTGTGAGATGAACTCATCCCAGGGAGACGCGTTTGGGAAATGACGTCACGTATGCACTAGCGAAGCTAGCTGTGGCAAGTCCAGTCAGCGGCGCGTCGGACCATTCAAGAACAGCGACCCAAGTCTGCTTCCGTCAATGTAGGCCGTCTTGAAAAATCACAAGGCACAGAAAATGTTGGCACTGTCTTTGTGTTTGAAGTTGCTTCATAAGTCGGCCCATCAGACAGCCCACGCAGCCACATGGACACGATATCGTGATTTGATGCTGGTGCCGGAACGGAGCCGCATCATTAGAATTGGCTCCTCAGATCTCCATATATAGAGTCAAGTTTTCAATCAACTTGATCCTCTCGCAGGTTGTATTATCGGGTATCACCCCTGAAACCGACGATCAATGATACCGCAGACGCATCATAAGTGGCCATGCCTACAGCGAGATGGCCACCACAGGCCTATAAGTACTACTCTTCACTAGCTCTGCCTCTAGATAAATGTGAAGCCCACCTTGAACAGGCTTAGCTCACAGCGTGCCAAGAGCACGTCTCTTCAGCACCTTCACAGATGACCGAGGCGGAAGACGCTGATGCAAAGTGGCCTTGTCTAATGACAATGGAGATCAGCCATCGGAATGCATAATGCGGATCCAACAGCAGGTCTTGTCATAAACTGTTCATTTCGGTAGGTGTTGACTTGGGCGCACATTCAGGTGAGGCAAGGAGCCACGCTAGCCGTCCACCGTGAATGTTTGCCTCGAGAGCCTGTACTGCAGCCGGCCTCGCGTCTAATGCCTGCTCAAAACCAAGCTTTTGATTAGAGACGACGGCATTACCAATGGAATGAGCAGAGATCAGGTAACAAATCTTTCGATGGACGTGAGAGGTCTGCTGGAACAATAGTCAGCCATACGAATGTAAATGCAGGGGGGCGGACACGATCAAAAGCCACTTGTTCGGTATGCTCTTTATACAGTAGATTTGCAGTGCGATTGAGCCCCTGAGTTTCCAGAGCAGGCATCGAAGGGTATATTGAGCTGATACACGCATGGAGTGGGTGTGAGGAAAGCGCATCGGTAGCCAGCGGCTTGAGGTATGAAGGCTGGCTTCCGTCACTGCGGGCTCTACGCCCATTGAGTGTACGGAGCTCGGTTTTATCAGTTGAAACGGCTCTCCTAATATACATGGAAAATATGAATGGGATAGAACTGACCATGAATTTGCTTCATCGAGGAGCAAGATCGCGAGTTAACCTATACCCGCCGTGTTGGAGTCAATAGGGTCGATGGGGGCTGGCAGTTCCACCATTCAATTACTTGGACCACGACACAATCAGCAAAGCCTGAGCGAAGCCTGTTGAATGGCCATTCGTTCTGGGAGAGCGGGATCAGGTGGAGTGTGAGCGGGCGACCCTTGTAACCGTCGATATAGCCTTGCAGTGGCTCTGGGCTTTCGCTCGCCTTGGGCGGCATGCGCGCCATGTGTTGCGTACACACTGGCTTACTGCCGGTGTATCGGCAGGCTCTGTGAAGGGTCAATGATCTGCCACTAGAGACTTTTTTTGAGAAGCCCAATCACTCACCCACGTTTGATACCTTGAAGCTCTGAACCACCTAGGCGCGGATTAATTTGGAAAATGTAGCGCAAAGAGCCGGATAGAAAAGAGCGAGATCAGCCGATATGAATTACGTACCTGATGGCATCACATCCTCATCGCTGATGTGATTGACGAGCTGTTCCTTCTTTATAATGTCTGTTAGTCTTGCAACCGAAGTCGCAAGCATAGAAATGCTTCAATTTAGAGAGCCTCCGCTGTGTTCAAGGTCGCATCGGCATTTCTCTTCGGCACGTAATGGGGTGCTCTGTCCGACAACTGGTCACTTGATATGAGAGGGTAGAAAGCTCCATGAGCCATCCAGCATCCGGGATACCCCACGCCGGGACTCGAGCGGAGGGAGCCGTGAAGATGTCTGCCACAGAAAGGAAGTCAGCTTTATGTACATAGACTCAATCAAAGGTCAGGGGATACGGGTCACACTTAGCGTTCGCCGGTATTCATGATGTATCAATCCATTCACCTTTCTGTGAGAGATTCCTGCGATACAAGTTCGTTTGATCAGCTATTGACCTCATGGATGGGCCTACCATATAAATAGGCTCCACCGTAATCTATCGGGGGTAGAGAGCCTGTTATGGTTGTCATTGAATGTGTTCGGATCTGGACTGTACACAGACCGCTCGAGAAGATCTATTGTGAGATCGTTAGATTGGACATAGGGCCTTTCTCATGGGTCAATTGAATTAACACCTCACCTTGGTAGAGATTTTGCTTGCTGCGGGGGATGTAATGGAAGCCTAGCGGAACCCGAGTAATATACGGTGTTAGCATAAGCTTTTACTAAGGGAGGGTGGTACTCACATATTCACGTCCTCGTATATTTAGCCTGGAGGAAGAATATTATCAGTGAGAGATAAGGTACTCTTGTGCTAGTGGCTGGGTACACTTACAAGTAGTTGACAGAAAAAAGTTCACCATTCAATCTTCGCAAATGACATGTGCGAGGAGAGATGTAGGAGGAAAGTCAGACAAGACGGATGGGAGCGTATTTATACCCTTCAGGGCGGAGTTCTTCGTCTTTCGCTTGGATCCAGGGTGGCAAATTGTGAGACTTTCTGATTTTTTCGAGGCAAGAGGAAAACCGGCATACTAGCAAGCGGTTTTCTGCGCTCAATCAACACGGTTACTCACCAGTGGTGAGCAAACAGGAGCAGCAAAGGCTGAATGACAAATAGTTGGCAAGGATGAAGATTCAGGTAGAATGCGGCCAGCAAATGCCACCAAGAAAGTGGAGGAGTGGCTAATTGAGAGACCAGAGTTTATTCACTAGTGGATTTAGTTGAATCAACAGCGATGAGCAAGTATGAGGCGTCCCAAGAATATGCGGAGTGACAAATAGTTGTTATGAGCAACCATTGAAGTAGAGTTTGAGTCCCAGTCACTCGAATTAGGGATGGCCGAATGAGGTCGTAAACCTTATTCACTCGCGAAATCAGTTGACTAAACGGGGATGAGCAAACAGAAGTTCTATCAACAATATATGGAATGGCAGATACTTGTTGAAGAGTAAAATTTGAGGCGAGCACTAGGAAGTCCTCATTTCTATTACTGAATTGACTATCTTATCGTTTCTCTCTTCCCTTGTCAAGCCCCCTATAACCAGGCGAAATAGTTTTGTTAGCTGCATAATCACTTGCACGGCAATGAATCATACGGGCGCATAGTGGGATTTGAGCACACCACACAAGACACGCCCTGGAGGGAACGATCAGAGTTGCCATTCCTCCTCAAGCATAATGTGAACCGTGGGCAGCCCAAATTGGCAAGACCATAACAATGCATGGTCATTCAGGTGAGCCAACACCGGGTACCTTGGATCCACACCGGTGCGGCCCGTGGGTCGAGGTGGGGCCACCATATCCACTCTGGTGCCTCAACGTTGAGTGAACGACAGTGAACGATCAGCGAGGAAAGCCAGAAGCCCTCAGAGAATGATGGTGAATGAGAGATTGCTCAATTTTGTGCGACCTCCGAAAACTCTTCACAGCGTCCTTGGAATCGCTTTCCATTACATTTCGGCCGTTCCAGCAAAAAGCACCGCTCCTCAAGTAGCGGGTGCCGGGCATACACTACTCTACGAAAGACACAAAAGTGCGTCCCGCCAAAAGTTGAGAATTGGAGACAGTTGCTCACTAAGTTGATATGCCATGGGCTTTTTGATAGTAATGCTATAATCAGAGTATATTGACAATCACCAAGAACTCAGAGCTCTCTCCAGCCTCTCCGCTGCCAATCTTGGTCACATAATATCAGCCCTTAAGTAGAATATGTGGACACGTGGGACTCTGCACAAGTCCACTCATGGATGTATGAAAGGAATACCCTTGGGTAGCAATCATGTAGGCGTTCCTTCTCGGAATGTGCAGCAAAGACAAAACCTGTCAAGCCGTGTACCTCTTGAATTTCACAATAAGCCGCCAGAACTTGGGCATAGTCAATCGGAGGTGACATGGAAGCCGCACACAATTTCGACGGGCCTCTTCAAATTAGACCAATGGCCCCGCCCACCGTCCTCCACAATAGCACTTTCGCACGCGCAGCATAATGCTGAGGACCTTCATTCTGACTCACTTCCCTGGGGTCACCGTCCCACTACTGTTAACCATGGGCAAGCCAGCTCTTTTCCCTCCGATTGCAACTGCGCCAATTTTGTGATTCGACCAGCACTTTCTGTGAGTCAGGAATACTACACACCCAGATGGAATGAACGGTCCCGGTGCTGTCTGGCGTGACGTGATTGGCGATCCACTATCTGCTTTTTGTAATTGAGTAAGCGGAAATCCCTTTAAAACGATCGGCATTATCGACAAGAATTCTTCGAATGATTGCTAGTGCAGGCATTTTTTTTTCACATACTGCTATAACTGACCGCTGGCTACTTCGACTACTCGACTCCTAAGGCGGATGCGTCATGACAAGCCAGCAGTTCATTTAAAAGACTCAGAATGCTATCAATAGTCATGTGGGAGCTTCTGGGCAACCGTCATCTGCAGTAGTCGTTTCTGGCAGTGAAATGTCTTCTCCCATCGTTCAATCAGAGTTTCGCAGCCAAGAAGCCGAACTCACAACTCGTCTTCACTCATCAATTGGATTGACTGAACATACGACTTTCCCACTGACGTGGGGGCAAATCATGCAATGCTCATAGCCGAGCCCGCTTGCTTGATGTTGCACTTCTGGGCTGTACAGTTTCAACAGTACCATATGGAGATTTACGGCCAGAATACTTTGCTTCCATGTCGCTGAACGCCTCTTTATCCTGCTGTCGATATCCCAATGGAAGGTATGGAGTCTGATTACAACAAACAAACAAACAAACAAACAAACAATTCATTAACGCCCGGCGGCTGAACCGAAAGGGCAACTATCACTGATCTACTGTACATGTCCATCTGTGTATGCTGTGTCTCCTGAAAGCCCATACATAAAACCTTATAACATATAACGTTTCCAGAAAGCAGTGTCGCAGCGAGTTTCTCGTGGGTTAGTAAGTGGGTTAGTAGGCTGGCTTGAAGGCGCTTCTCCAAGTGTTCAACATCCTATCTTCGGCCGTTGAAGCGCGTCTACCATCTGTGGCACGAGGTGGTGGGTGAGTATGGTCGGAAGAAGAGGGTGGGTAGTTATGTTGGCCGAAATGTTCAAGTAGCCTCGAGTCGGCCCGTCGCGATGGCGAAACGTATCGAGGCCCGTACTGCTTCTAGACTTGGCGTCCACTTCTGATCATCAGAAGGCTGTTTTCCCCCAAGGGCGAAGGATATGTTTCCTCGGTGAGTCTGGGTGCATTGTAACAGTTCCGTCCGGTGCGCAGTCCACTTCCGACAGCGGAAGAGGAAGTGCTCCACGGTCTGCTTGTCCGCAATCGCATTGATCCGTCTCTACAACATTAATTTGATTGAGATATCCATTGAGTCTAGCCATACCGGTTCGGAGCTGGGCCAGTACGGTCGCTTCTTTCCACGTTAGGCGATCATACAACTGCCGGGTGTGTTTGCCTGGCAGTGCAGCATCCACTCGTTTTGGGTGTCTTCCTACGTTCTGTGGTAGTTCATTGGTGGGGACTGCTTGGGATCGCGCAATATTCAATGTGGTCGACTTCATCCTCGGGACGCGTTCTTGTGGGAGAGAATCTTCTTGTGTTGCAGTTCTGGTTGTTCCTTAGTCAGGCTTAATAGCTTATTGCCCTCGATGGTGGGGATCCAGTCGAATTTGATTCGGTTTCCATTCCTTCGCAACCTTCTCATCAGCTTGTACATCTGACAAACAAACTCCTGGCCAGACTGTCGTCGAGGGTTTCTTAGAGTGAGCGCCGCCGCTTGTGAGCAATGTAATCCCGTAGTCTTTGATTCCCACTACCATTTTCAACACATGTGCCATGGCTGCCAGCTCTGCAGAGAACGGGTTTTGCTCTGTTCTCGCACCTAATTTGACGGAAACGGCTTGGAGCTTCAATTTCCGATTTCGAAGAGCTCCTCACCACCAGAGGAATTTTTTTCTCGCCCCCAGCGATGATCTCCATACAGGGGAACCTATCCTGGTTCCAATTGATACATACATATCGTACAACCACAAGTCTAATAATTAAACTTTCGCAGTTTATGGAGCAACCACTATGTGTAACATGTCGACACAGCGAGTGAGCGAGATATATTTCCACATACGGCGCAATTCATTATCGCTAGGACGTCAAACATTGGATATCAAAGTCATAACGAACTAAGGTACCTCATATTCAGACAAAACCCGATGAGAACTTGAAGAAAGACTTGACATTCCCATTCAAACGGCATGGTTCCGTAAGACCTGGCTGGATAAGATCTTACGCTTTAAGTTCTCGCATACATTCATCAGCAGGGCAGATGATAATCGATGTCCGAAGATATCTGGGAAGGAAGGGACGAGGCGTGGGACTTTGAGTGCTTGAGCATTTGATGCTGCAGCATTTGAAAGGTGGAAACGCTGGTGATAGAATGTAGGTAGGAATGAAAGGTGCTCTAGAAGACATCAATTACACGTTATCAAGTATATCAGGGTGCATTGGGGTCTGAGTAGATTGAGAGAAGATGTTTAGCGACTCGCATGGTGCCGGCCATGCTAGACAGACGCTGAATGCCGTGGAGCCAATCGCAATATGAAACTAGTGATGCAAGTCATGGCGGGCTCGAAGGCTGCAGATGTGGGTCCACGATCGGAAATCTGCGGTGGTAAAACTATGGCCTCAGGCCGAAAGATTTAGGTCAGTTGACTTGGGACCAATGACTCATAGCATTGTATGTACGACTGGTTTGATCGTACGTCCGCAGCCTTGCGTCTGCAACGGCCTCGAGTCTGTCAACTGGCATCTACTATGGCCTTGCAACCATAACAGACATGAAATCTTGGAATGATCTCTCTATAGGGCGTAGAGTAATTCTTGGCTATCTTCCAGACAGCCGATCGCATTTTCAAGCTACAGATCATGTTCCCAGATTTACTCCTGACTCTCACGAAACGGATTTCTAATTTCGTGCGCCGGGCCGATCAATATTGAGCTTTCTTGATGAGGTAGATATTCGCTAAGGACTGCGCTTTTGTGGCCAAAGCTCAGCTTCTTGCATATCGACGGACAGGGCTATTCGATCTTAGCATAACTTGTGAAATGACGACTGAAAGAGTTGGTTTACTTTCCCAGACGGTAGCATGCGGGAACCGTCATCTATCCATTAAATGGTTTAGAAGCGCTTCGAGGGCGGAAAACGTGGCCTCTCGTGAGAAAGACAAAGCTACCTGCGTTAGTCTAGAAGGAGGGGAAACCGTGATCCATCTCAGGAAGGATTCTATCAGACGCGGTAGACCTGCCTGCGTTATCCTGGAGGGAAAGCATGGTCATTCTAAAAATAGCAACACGAGGGAAAAACCGTGGTCAAAAAAAACTGTGGTGAGGATCAAGCGATGTTTGCCTGTTATCCTGGGGGAAAACCGTGGTCGTTCTAAAAATAGTAACACAAAGGAACTGTGGTACAACAAATAAAAACGTGGTCATTCCTGTGAGACCTTCTATTTATGATCTGGAACATTATAGGCCTTGCATTTTAAATGGTCTCTTGTTGTTCAACCGAGAAAACCTTGAGATTCAAACACTTTGACCTTCGAGAGGCCTACAGAATGATAGAATTATTTTGCTGTCAAAATATTGGAGATGCGAAAATTTAATAGCCCTCTGATTTTGGGCCAGTGGATTTTTATAGATGATGTAATGATGAGGACGCAATGGACTAAAGAGCTAGGGCGCTTAAGCACCTGAGAGCATTCATAAAATTCAAAAGCGTAAATACTCATTTTGCATAGCTTCGGTCTTGATTGGACTTAGAGCAATGGAAACGGGTGGGGTAGAGTATACATATGATCGATGGAGACCCATCTGGAATCCACCTAGAAAAGGTGCATTTACTGGTGGAGCCATGCCGCTGACAAGGCCCAAAACAATATCTGACTACCCAGTTCCTTCTCCGCGAATGAAACAAATTCCTCTTTGGTGAACGGTTTGCTGGTATTTGGGTTTATCGCCGCCAAGTCGGGCTCTTGAACAGCAACCACGTTAATTGGGACCTCGTTCCGATACTTTGACATGTACGGGTATGCGTTGTTCTCCATAGTCTGCTTGTAGGGAATGTTATCTGGCCCTCCAATTCCAACGCCATGTTCAGCAAAAAAGTGAAACGAGTCGGATATATAATGCCTTGCATTAGCCCATCCACAGGGCCAGAAGTTGACATATTGGACGGCGTAGGACTTTTTGAAAACGCTGGCAGCGTATTGAGCATTGTCGAGAGTTCCCTCGTAATAACCTTTGCAGGTATAACCAGAATCAGTGCTGTTTGATTGGACTTCAATAGAAGTTTCGGGAAGGTTGAAACCGAAGACCGCGCCATCAAAGCTGGTGGCGAGAGCTTTAAGCAGGCATTGGAAACGATCACGGACATAAGGATTCCACTGGGCAGCAGCCCAACCGCTCACAACGAAGTCGCCGCCACAGTCGTCTCCGTCACATTGAGGAACACTGCCATTATTGTAGATAGGTTTGTGTAGATAATTTGGGACAGGATTGCTCTCGACGCTGAATGAGCGGTCTTGAATTTGGACCCAGAGATTTTTGCCCTTGGCCCGTGTGGAGTTGAGGTCGTTTGCGATTGCAGAAAATTCGTATTGGCCTCTCTGAGGCTCTAGGGATTTCCAGGTGTATAGGCTCTGAACACCGTGGATTTCGGGACGATCTAAGAGTGCAAGGGCTTCCTCGTCTATGTCACTGGTGTAAAGCCATTGCTGTAGGGAGTGATTGGAAACTTTGGCTTGAACCGGACTGAAGATTGGCAAGAGAGTACCGACAACAAAGTAAAGGGTCGAGCTCAATTTCATGGTGGAATGTGACTGCTTAATCAGGGATTTGTGTCAAGATAATGGAGTCGGCGCCCTTTAAATACCACTGCACCTTAACCTGACCTTCGACTCACAATACCTGACTTGGATGAACGGTGAAAAAATATCAATGTGTCTTGTCTCTTTCTTCAGGAACACCCGATCGTAACCCGACCACGCAACCTGGTCCCGCCTCCATCGGCTATGCAGGGTTTTCCTAGTCGTGACCCATAGCCAGGTTCTTCTCCACCCAATCCCGTTTCAATATTCTGAAACCTTGAAAAGTCTATCCGTGCAAGCGAACGTATGTCTCCACTCGACAATGAAAACGACGGTATTGATCGTCACATACTTCCCTTGGATTTCAATCGCTGTTTAGAAGAAAGAATATGGGTTCCTTCGGATAACTTCGCTTACTTACTAATTACTATTACAGACCGGTCCTCTTATTACCCCCGCTTCGGTTATCTCTGAAAAGCTTGCTTGTATAATTTTTGATTGGAATCTTGTTATCATCGCGGATCAAAGCCTTCGCCACTTTTTTTTTTTTTGCTTCGTCAATCGATCTGGGGTAAAGCTTGGCAACGCCTCACGTTTCATAGAGCCGATTACGCTTACGTTTTTATTCAGTGATTGGCACAACTCAGTCCTTGGAAGTCTTTAGGGCATGTTTCCGCAAGTGTCTCCCAATTCATTTATCTGATTCTTCATTCTCGGAATGAAGTCGCCTGAGGCTAAGTAGAACGTGAAAGGCATATAGGGTCCCAGGATATTCCCCAGCCGAAGAAACACCCCTAACGAAGCGGCGTCTGGCAACAAGAATATACTGAGAAGAGAAATTTGGAAAATGGTCACCTACGCGCTTTTTTGCGGGTCACCTTCCATAATATTCTACCCAATTCTCTTACATATTGTGTAAACTTACTAGCACTATACGATACCATACAAGCAACATTATACAGTGGCCCTCGACTTACCGCGACCAGCCCAATAATTGATTTGCACTAAGGCCTTGGCAATGGTGCTCGAACAGAGTGATTTAGTGTGTATCGGTCAGGCCAATTTCGAGAATGACTGTACCTCCGATTGCACACTATAGTGATTGTACTTGGTCAACTTGGTGAACTTCAACGCCCGTTGATGTGACGTTTCCGTCCCGATGATTGTTTGATCTTACAATAATGACCGAGGTGGTAAGAGTATTGCTCTGCCGATCAACCGGCACCCTGTAAGCTGCAGCATAGCGCAATGTAAGTTTTTGTTATGCATGTCGTTGGCAGATTGTTGAAGCAAGAGAAACGGAATGCTAGTGAACATTTCTACCCCTTCACCATCAGAGCAAATTTTTTTCTCGCCTCCATCGATGATCCCCGTGGAGGAAGAAAATATCTTGGTTCCAATTGATACATACATAAATATTGTAAGATTGCAAGTCAATACTGATCAAACTTTCCCTGTGTATGGAGCAACCGATATGACATATCTGTAAAGAGAGTGACCGAGATATATATTTCCACATATAGCTCAATTCATTACCGCTAAGGCGTTTCAAATCCTTGCTGTATAAGCCCAAAGGAACAGCAATAACCCATATTCTAACCCATATTCATGCAAATCTCGATTACAATTTGAATATAGACCTTATATTTCCATTCAAGCGGCATGGTTCCGTAAGATCTTGCTTGGGTACCTGCGGGTCGACAATATGTGGAGATACTCCTGTTGAGCCAATGAGACCCACTTCTCACCAAGCCGGTCTTCAACACCCGCAGGCTCCACTTACAGCCACAATAAGTAAATGGTGAGACGTGAAGTGACGACAGGAAAGGCTTGGATCATCCAGTGATGAGATGGAATGATATTGCCAGCCTCTACGTGGCCAGACCCACCATATTGGAATCTGGATAACCCATTGAAGCTCAACAGTTGATCGATGATGATGTTAGACTCGCGGATGAACACTCGACATGTACTGGACATACAACCAAAATGTGATCAACGGTAATGTTTATTTATTATATTTAGTTCATTTATCAGCTCTCTCTTATACACAGCCCCCAATATTCGAGGTGGTAAGATTCGACTATCCGCTTTACCATAGCCTTCAATGAATTTCGCCATCACGATTTCAACGAGCTTCGTAAATTTGCCACCACAAACGAGAAAAAGATGGGAGTAAAGCCTACAAATATCTTGGAATCCCGGCGTTTCATTCCAACCCCCCTTTGAAAACCGTAATACATCATACACCTCCCTGTAAGTCTTTCTCCCCTAGCTCCTCGGCTTTTTGTCTCAATTTACCGGTGCTCATACGACTCGCTAAGCCACTCAAACCTAGAATTAAGCTTGCTCAATGCTCATGCGATATATGTCTCGCCAGGTACGTTCACCACCCTCGTGCGAGCTTTGAAGATCTGCATTCTCGACTTTGATCCAGCTCACCTTTATCATGTTACGAAAGCGTTATGATACAAAAGTAAGACTTGCAAAGGGGAGATCTCCCCACCTGCTGTTGTATGGCATGAGGTGAGTACACCAGCTATGATCGATGACCTTTTGATCCATTTTCAGCTACTAAAAATGAACAGATGATCTGGTATTGCACTAATACTGTCATCAGATACTAATCTCATCATGTGTCCAAGATGACCAGGAAAGCTTCAGTTATATTCTCAACCTATTCAGAGTAAGGTGTTGGCGATGACAGGCATAGTCGGGGCAAAAGTCCCACTACTTGCGACAGCCATAGGAAGAGCAACTGCTTGGAGAACTTGAGCTCGAATACTCAAGTCTTCACATCAACGTCCAAGCTCGAACATCAGATGCTTCGAGATGTACAACTCGATAATCGCCATGCTGGGGATATTTGTAAAGCGCACCACAAAACGGCTAGACATCGCGGCGACGCTCATTTCCGAAAATAAGTCCTCATTTATCTCCCTTCATCTCGACCGCGGATAGTGAATTGCTAGCGCTGACCGAAATTAGATTGAAAACACTGCGTTCTATCATGGCTTCGGGTGAATTGACTCTTTGGGATACTCTCCCCGAAAGCCGAGATTCTAAAGGGCTGCTGGCTTCTCCGTCAATCTCTGTGAATGGCTGCGGCGAACGAATCAGCACAGCAGTCGGTCACACAGAATGCCGGAGAGCAAGACGTATCCTGTGAGTCAAAACCTTTCTACACGTGACTCGTCAATGGAAAATTTTGAGATTAACGATATCCCTTCAAGGCACAGATTTCAAGGGCCTCATACCCTTCATATCCAACGTCTCACTATCACTACGCCAAATCAAGTTGATGGGAGGATTCAGCGAGTTTGCAGATATTTCTCTTGGAGGAACATCATGCGGGAGGGTTTCGGACGCTGGAATAAGTATATTATAAACCGAGGCCTTGGAAGGGTTCCGGTCAGCACGCCGCCAGTCCACGCTTGAACTTTTCTGGTACGTCTTCGCCGCACATTCATTCTTCATGGAAGGGGCTAACACGACAAGAGCAAGTTCAAAGGGAACGAAGTCGAACATCACTCTAGATACGACATGTCGAGATCAATCCGAGTGTTCGAAAAATTGGATTTGAGCGACAACTTACAAGGCCTCTTCATGGCTTCACAATGGTGCTAATCAGCAACCGTGGCTGCGCGTGGTAGATATGGATCGCGTCTTGACGTAAACCCCCGTCATAATTGGCCTGCTGATCATCATTGTGGGTGTCTCGATATCCTTAGTCGGCCGTCAGGAATGCAATATCTCGTCTCAGTGTCGCGATATACCGGCTCCCCACGATGGGCGGGGACTCCAACGCCACTTTTGCCCAACTGCCAATGATTTGGTATCACATCACGCTTCTAAAAGTCGATTCGCTCATATTTGGTTTCGTTTCCAATGAGCTTTAGACCCGGGGACCGGAGCTCCCCGGAGACACATTGGCAGGAGTCATCAAGGCAGTCTCTAATTGCCTGGGACTGCCCCCATAAGCGACGAGCAAGATTGGCCCGACGTTGATCTTGTATCATTCTCCCATTTTTTCGTGCACGACGTTCTTCGGAAGCTATGTATCGATTTTGTGGCCTGCATCCAAAGATATTCTTGATTGACGAATAAAAAAAAAAAAAAAAAAAAGAGATTCAGCACTTAGAAGGTTTATGGCGATGACCAGCATTCCAGTCCGAAACTTGCGGGTCATTGCATTCAAACTGCCCGCACAGAGCCTAGCGGGGATTGGAGTCTGAAATCTCGCTTGGTGCTGATACCTGTGTGCTGTGACGTCTATGGTCTCAGCGCCTGAATCGATGTCGTATACGGGCAACTAAGAGATGGCGAAATAGAGGCTGGTGCTGGAAGAAGCCTCATTCCGCGATGACCACGGAGAAGGTCAAAGCGGGTGCATTGTTGTCCGCTCCCTTCGGTCGCTCCCAATGTGCCCGAGAAAATCATTCTAGGCCTTCCCTCCGGGGTTGTGGCGTTGATTTCGGGCGGGCCTTCGGTATACGGGGCCACCCTGCGGGTGTCGGGCCCTCTCCGGCCCTAGGCAGGGGCTAAACGTGAAATCCGGGTCAAGCAACCCGTTGCCACCGATGGGGAAATTCCCACTACAGTAGCTCTTACGGGCAGTTTTATCGTCCAGGACGGCCAAGACGGAGGAAAAGATCCCTTCGCCGCCGTCCCGTCGACCTTGCTGGCCTTGAAATCTTTTTCTCAGAAACTTTATTAGGGTGCTGACTTGGGCGAGGCTTGACGAGGCGAAACTTCTCTCTGTTGTAGCTAACTATGTGCTATTGTGCTGACAATGCAAATACTGCATTTGACCCTCCAGCACACAAAAGCGGTTCTGGTAAGTTGCCCGTGCCGCCAACGTCCATTTGATTGGATTATTAGACACAAGGGGCAAATCCCGCGAGTAGATGAAGGGAGACAAATTCAATGAATAGTTCGGATATGATGTATCGGGCATGTCAGATGGTAAAGCCGATCGAGTACAGAATAAGTTGTTGAATGTCTAGGCTTCGTTGCTTACGAACGCGTGCTGACGAGCAGCAGAAACGTAGCGTGGTATGTCTTACGCGTCGCGTTGGCAACTTGCTACCCTTCATGTTACCCCCCACCATGTCACCCGCGACCGCTGCTATTTGCTGGCAATACTAGCCTTATCGGACACCGGTCCATGTGAGATGCGTTTCGGTCTGCCTGCTTTATTTACCCTTGCGCCCGGTCTATTGAGACCTCCGAGTTCACAATTACATCTTCGAGAGTCAACAGGTTCCAAACAGGGGGATTCGATATGGCACATCCAGACAGTCGAACCCCCGGTTCCCCTTTCTCCACGGCTTTTGAATTTCATGCACTAGGCGCTCGCAGTAGATTTCCATTTCGGGATGAACTTTAATAGGATAAGACCAATGACAGCCCGCTTCAAATGAAAGTGGGTACCAAGGCAGTCATCTATCCTTGGAATGTTCATCATGACGTGATATCGACCTTATTTCCTCTTTTACCGAAGAAAACTGCGGGCGGAGTTAAAAGTAGCTCCGCTCACCTTGCGAGCTTAGATCTGAAGCTTGTTATAAATTCTCATCTTCGTATATCTCAAGATGCAAAATTATTCATTCCATCGGGTAGAAGTGACATGTCTTCGTCCCCGATCATTTTCATTACCGGTGCCAACAGAGGTAATGTCGTTCATCTCTAAACATACGAACGGATGCAGAAGATTCTAATTGATGAGCTTCTACTAGGACTTGGCCTTGCTATTGCCCAAGCCCTTGCGATCCAAGTTCCAGAATCCATCCTTTACCTGGGCAGTAGATCTAGGGATGCTGGTTCTCAAGCGTTACAGGAGGTTCGCTTACAGGGGATTACCTCTGATATTGAGGTCATTGAAATAGATGTTAATCAGGATCGGAGCATCGTGTCAGCTGTTGAAATCCTAAGTCAAAAACATGGGAAAATTGACGGTGAGCTCCAATTTCAACTCTTCGGCGGTATTTAGCCTCTCATTTACTAATTGGATATTGTAAGTTTTGATTAATAACGCTGCTCTCGCCGGTGACCCAAAGTCCGATTTGACCGACTTTCGTGATGTTTATACGGCAATACTGGATACCAACATCACTTCCGTTGGCTGTGTTACTTCTTTTTTCATACCTTTGTTGAGCGCTTCGTCTGACCCGCGTGTGATTAATGTATCTTCTGCCCGAGCGTCGGTAACTCTTCAGACATCTGGAAAACTCCCTCCGACAGCGTCCATCCCATATTCGATATCAAAGACTGGAGTCAACATTCTCACATTGGAAATGGCAAAGGTCTACAAAAATGTCTGCTTCTACTGTGCCTCGCCAGGTCATTGCCGCACGGCTTTGAATAATTATAGGGGCAAGAAAAACCCTATTGATGGCGCCAAAGTTATTGTTGAATTGGCGGTCAGCAGGAAGGGCCAATATGACCCGGGGTTCTGGGAGCTTGAAAACGGCATGATGTCACAAATTGCCTGGTAAATCAAAATGTCCCTCGGATTGAAACTGGACCTCCCCCCCTCCCCAAAGAACCTTTCCGCGAGGCATAAAGACCTTACTCCTCTTATGTCTTGACTGACCCTGAGCCGAGTATCTTGTATTGCTAGCCACCAGTCTCTTGTCTCTAGTACCATAAGTTCATGGAATATTTCAAAACATGCATTTATAGCCCATATCGCGGGTCTAATCGCCTTCTTTTATATCTTAGACGTTGCTCATTTTGTTCTCATTTTCCTAAAGCGTTACGTGACCAAGAAAACCAGTTGCTAAAGTCGCAGCGTTACAATTTGCCGCGAAGAAAATGGTGAAATAGTCACGAGGGTGTTGATCTGTACGCATGTGCTCCAGTATGCGTTCGATACCGAACTCTTCTGCCCCAATCATGCCTGACCATTGACGTAATCTGGTCCATATTGAAAAAGGAACAGATTCTCCAGGCATTTCACGTGTATCAACGTCGTATTCTGCGTCTCCAGTGAAGTTCATAATAACACTCTTTGAATTCGTAGCGTTCGTGTAGACCATTTCGTCGGACTTGAAGCCCTTCTCCATCGAATACTCATGCATGTGTGGATGGTAAATTTAAAATGAAAGTTATTCGGCTTTTCCCGTGTCATTCGATTTTCTGGGCTTCGGGCTATGTACTTGACTGGCGACTTATACTATAAACATTAACACGTGCCCTGTATCCTGGTAATTAGGTTATACATGAGATTGTATATGAATGGGCGACGTGAAGTGTAGGTGGAGAGATAACAGGTCCGCCGGGCACCTGGGCCTAGGCATCGATCGATATGGCTCATATCAACAAAGGGTCATGGTTGATAAGGAACCCCGTTATCCCTGTGGCAGGGTGGAGGGACTTTGGTAGTAGGCGGACGGACACCCCCATTCTCGATAAGGTCCCAGATCTCTTATCAATAGCAGCACTTTATTGATCTGAGCTCCATCTGATAAAGACTTGAACGGCCGACGGGCGTCGGGGAACTTTATTTCATCCCCCACTTGTCCGTCTACGAACTCGGCGCCAGTGGAGCACACAATGGATCCCTCTCTGCCAGGAAGGATCGCGGGATAGATACAATATGGTGGGAAATCTGCCTGCTAATTGGTATATGTATTTCAAAATTCTTTGCAAACTGCCCAGGGACATCGAACATGGGATAAAAATTGAAAATGACAGGTCTCACGCACATCCCTACACGCTACCAAGCTATTGTTTACGATCGGCCTGGTGCTTTAAGTACCAAAATAGTCGAGCTAGACACTCCCAATCCCGGTGTTGGTGATGTCTTGGTGCGGATGACCCACTCTGGTGTGTGTCGGAGTGATTTGAGTGTGATGATGCGAAGATGGAGTTACCTTGGACCCCCAATACAGCCTGGCCAAGTTGGAGGGCACGAAGGCGTTGGCGAAAATGCAAGGTTGGGACCCGGTACTGAACGATTTAACCTGAAGATTGGAGATCGTGTGGGAATCAAATGGATGGCCAGGGTTTGTGGCGAATGCCTTCTATGTTTGGCAGGAAGAGATGGAAATTGTTTCAATGGAAAAATATCTGGCTATGAGACTTCAGGTACCTTTCAGCAGTTTACTCTTGCCCCAGCAAACTATGTTACACCCATTCCCTCCAGCCTACGAAGTGACCTAGCTGCACCGCTCCTATGTGGTGGGGTCACAGCTTATGCTGCCTTGAAGAAGTGTGACGCTCAACCGGTAAGCGTTGAAGTATTTTACCTCTGAAGCATAGCACTGATAATTGCAATAGGGGGACTTTGCCGTCATCGTGGAGGCGACCGGAGGGCTTGGACATCTTGCCCTGCAAATTGGATCAAATGGTATGGGTTATCGAATGATTGTAAGTTTTGGTGACCATCTTTTCCATCATGATCTCTAACGAACCTGCAGGCAGTTGATTACGGCCATAAATCCGAATTCGCTCTAGAATGTGGTGCCGAGCTTTACTTCGATGTGACGAATGATGAGTCTAATGATGAGTTGGTCAAGGCTATTAAGGACGCCAGTCCCGGGGGTGTTGGTGCAACTGCTGTTGTTGTCTGCACAGCCTCTAATGATGCCTATGCTGCTGGCTTCGAAATGCTCAAGTTTTCTGGTACTTTGGTATGCGTCGGGGTTCCAGAAGGAAAGCAAGTTCCAATTGCAACCGTCGACCCGGCAAGCATTATATCGAAGGGAGCCCGTGTTGTCGGTAGTCTGGTTGGGAACCGTGAAGACGCTATTGCTACATTGGATCTGGCTGCTCGGGGCGTGATAAACACTCGCTTTAGGGTAGAGCCCATGACTAACTTGTCTGAGGTCTTTGAACAAATGGAAAGCATGAAGTTGAAGGGCGGTGTTGTTTTGGACTTAACACGGACTGGGGGTTAGAGTATACCAGAGAACTGGTAGTTGGTCAATCAGACAATCAATTAACTGGGCAGTCAACCTTCCTTGGAATTAACATCATCTTCAAATGTTGTAAAAGGTTCCGGATATATTTCGCGCAGAAAACAACATTTTGAACATTTAATGATTTCGATACATACAAAGGCTCTGTCAATTCTCAGTCAAGGAAGACTTAAGATACCGTATTTTTCAAGTTCAAGTTCCTGCCAGCCTGAGTGTGGAATTCGACGTATTTACTATTGGAATGTTTGAATGGTCAACACGTCCCTACATACTATCTAGGCGCCCGTACCATATGAAGTAGTGCTTCATTCATATAACGCCAAAGTTGGTGTTGTCAAGTTTATGACATATATTCAAACACCACGTCTAGTTTTGATCAATGTATTTTGATGTATATACCATCTACTACTTACGAGTGGATCGTGACACTGGCAGCTGGCATCTTCGAGCGATTTAGCCCTGATGGTGTGCCGCATACATATCACCAAGTCGTACCTTCATGTAGAAATTTGATCGATATTTACTAGTAGGTATTCCTCCTAGCTCAGGTGTATTCGAAGATCTATTTCTATTCATGGTTCGACTTTTTGTTGTGATATACGTCTGGTGCAGATCAGGAACCAAGCCGTCCCATCGGAATTAATGCCGAAGTATCTATACGAAGAATCAAGTTGATTTCCAATCAACTTGTTCGTCTCGTTGTATATATAGCTTCATATTCCCCTTTGAATGATAGTAACAATCAATCTTCCTTTGAACTACAACAGGTTATGAGCCCGGGAGCAATCTCTCGGGTGCCGTCTCTACTCATCTGAGAAACATCTTATCTATCCATCTTGATTATATATCTACCCCGCTTTCAACTCATCAACTTATCATCATGTCGGCTCTGGTCCATGACTCTCCAGACCGAGCCGTTACGGCCATCGAGCCTCTGACAGGAAGCGACAACTTCGCTACCTGGAAACGTCTCATGACCTCCTACCTCAAAGCGAGACAGGTCTGGGACGTGGTGTCGGGCGACCTCCAGCGTCCTGACTGCCTGTTCAAGTACGCCAAACCTATTACGGCGGACATCCACCCCTTGGTGGAGCCCCACCTCAGCGGGGCGGTGAGGCAGCGCGCCATCGACGCGCGCCTCGAAGTGGAGGTCCAGGCGTTCGAGCGCCACCGTGAATGGTCGCGCCGCGAAGCCGAGGCCTACCATACTATCTTCCGATATTTATCCCCTCACATCAGCATTCACGTCGCGGGGCTCGAGACGTCTCGTGACCTCTGGAATGAACTTGAAGAACGGTATCGGCGGATGGAACTCGCCACGTTCTGCGAGCTGTTTGCCCAGTTGCGTGAAACCACTGGTGAGCGCTGCGGCAGTGCGCGCGAGTTTGTCGATCGGGTACGAATGCTAGTACACCGGTTGAATGCTATTGTCCCGGGATCCATCGGCGACCGGACGCATATCGCGATCCTGTTGACGCAGATTGGACCGGAATACATCTTAATCGTGGATGCGATCCAAAATGACAAGGATCCCGTCAATCCGACCACGATCGGAAACCGTCTGGCAAATGCTGAACAGACGGTGCAGCGAAAAGACGCAGCAATGCTCCCGCACGGAGCGCCTGGCGGACTGAGTAGCCCCTCAATCAATACAGTGCAGAAGAACACCAAGAAGTGCAACTACTGCAAGAAGCGCGGACATGTAGTCGCGCAATGCTGGAAGAAACAGCGAGAAGAACAGTCGTCCAGGGACGTTGCCCTGAAGGCTGAACGGAGTGTTTCCGGCTCACCAAGAAGCAATTTGCAAAGAATACCATCAGGCCAGACGGAAGAACGGCATGGCCCGCCGACTTCCAAGAGACCGCGGATCAATGTTGTGAGGGCGAGGGTGACGACTCTCTATACCCACGCACCGTCACCCCGGTGGATCCTGGACTCGGCTGCCACCAGCCACATCTGCTAGGACCGGAGCTGCTTTAGCAGTCTGCGGCCCCACCGCGAGATGTTGGACACGGCGGGCGATCCAGTGGAAGCCGAAGGGATTGGGACGGTGAAGCTCACGCTCTGGGGGAAGTTCAACCAACCCCTGGTGTTGAAAAACGTGTACTTCGCGCCACGCGTCGGGATGAACCTGATCAGCGTGCCGAAGTTGCTACGAGACCGCTACTCGGTGGTGGCGCACCCACAGAACGTCTTTGTGCAACGCCGAGGACGGACGGTGGGGACCGCCTACCATGCGGAGGAGGATCTGCTGATCCTGCGGTGCCATGTGAGCAAGAGATCCCGAGAGCGAGTCCAACTGGCGAGGGCGCCGACGACCCATGACCATGCAGATTCCCTGGAACCGCAGGCGGTGGCCATGGACGTCGACGACCCTGAGGAGTCAAGTGGCGTAGGATGCGCATCGCCAACCTCTGAACTCGGTGGTGAAGCACGGATACTCGAAGCAGATGCGAGCACAGGAGTGGACCAGGCCTCCGAAGCGTTGTGGCACGCTCGAATGGGACATCTGAACCGGGGCGACTTGAGGGTGGTCCTCCGGCAGACCGGCACTCCGTACCGACCGCTGACGCAGGCGCAACTGCAGGCAACGCCGCAGTGCCCGGCGTGTATGTCGGGTAAGCAGCATCAGAAGAGGAACTCCCGCGCAAGACGGCCACGTCTGCATTCAACGAGAATTTTCGAATTGATTCATTCGGACATCATGGGGATGCCGATCGCCAAGGACGGCTGCAGGTACGTGATCACCTTTACTGACGATTATTCTCGGGGCTCATGGGCCTATGCCATGAGATGGAAGCATGAAGCGCTCCAAAAGTTCCGACAGTTTGAGGCCTGGGTGCACCGACAGTTCGGCGCCCGGATCCAACGCTTCCTGACCGACAATGGAAGAGAGTATCTGCCGGTCGGAACACACCTCGAACGCCAGGGAGTTGAGTTCGACACCTCGCCGCCATACTGCAAGGGGCAGAATGGGCTGGCGGAACGCACAAATCGCACCATCCGGGAGCGGATGAACACGCTCCTGTCCGATGCGAACCTTCCTCCTTCCTGGTGGACCGAGCTTTTGGATACGGTGGTCTATCTGAAGCTGCGCGCGCCAGCGTCGATCTTACAGAAGAAGACTCCGTTTGAAGTGATTTACGGGAAGCCACCCTTGCTCTTGCATCTGCGACGGATCGGCTCCCGTGCCCGGGTTTTGATCCCAAAGGAACATCGAGCAAAACTCGGGCCGCGATCATCCGAGTGCCGATTACTGGGTTACTGTGAGCCGAACCAGTACAAGCTCTATGAAATACATTCTGGAAAGACAGTCTTCTCCCGCGATGTCGAGTTCGATGAGCGGACCCCTGTGGCGCCACTCATCGAGGGGGAAACAGGCAACGACCTCCCGGACAACGCTCCTCCATCGACTGTCTCTCCATCAATTCCACGCTTAGCCAGTGGGCTGCCAACGCCCCCTGCATCGCCATTATCTCTGTCGAATGGGCAAGAGAAAATGCCCGAGGAGATCCCTCCAGTGGTCAATCCAATCGAACAGGGACTTGACGTGACCTCGGATCTTGGGTACTCAATCTACGGTCGCCGACGAAGACCGTCACGGCGTCTCCTGGAGTCACTCGGCAAAGTGTACTCGACAGGCGCATTGAAAGCCATTTCGGACAGACAAGTCGATCCGGTCACTTTTGGCGAAGCTGTGTCAGGCGCAGACCAGCTGGACTGGTGGGCCGCTATCCAGAAAGAGTACGCGTCCCTTCTCGAACACGGAACTTGGGAAAAGATCCGGCGACAAGACGTTCCGGCCAGTGCTCATGTGATTGGCTGCAAATGGGTCTTCAAGACCAAAGCGAACGGGATGCGTAAAGCGCGGTTGGTCATCAAAGGCTACCGGCAGAAACAGGGCGTCGACTTCCATGAAACATTTGCGGCTGTTTCCAGAATGGACTCAGTCCGATGCATTGTCGCGAGCGCCGTGCTACGCGGATGGAAACTCCACCAATTCGATGCAGTCACCGCCTTTCTTCATGGAGATATCGACTCGTCTATCTACATGGAGTTGCCTGAAGGCTTCGAAGAGCCAGGGCACGTGTGTCGACTGCGCCGCTCACTATATGGTCTGAAGCAGGCTCCGCGGATTTGGTACCAATGCGTCCACCGCGTCCTGGCTTCTCATGGATTCACCATGGCTCAGTCGGACAACTGCGTGTTCTACAAGCCAGGTTGCGTCGTCTGTGTCTACGTCGACGACTTTCTTGTTGCGGCAGCAAACAAACACGAAATCCACCAAGTGCAGCAAGCATTGCAAGCGGAGTTCCAGCTCAATGATCTGGGCATCCCACAATCATTTCTCGGGATCCAGTTTGACCACCAGGTTGACGGATCTGTATCCATTCACCAACACCAGTACATCCAGAAGGTGCTGTCGGATTTTGGTATGGAGAACTGTCAGCCGAAGTCTACGCCGATGAACCCTAAGCAAAGCCTGAATTCTCGCGCAGAGGAGGAACCTCCGGATGAAGAAGCAAAAGTTCGCTACGCGACTGCTATCGGCTCGCTCATGTATTTGATGGTTGGCACGCGACCAGACATCGCGTTTGCGCTAGGAATGTTGAGTCGCTTCACATCCCGACCGCAATCTCATCATCAAGTCGCCCTTCAGCGGCTGCTACGCTACATCACAGCCATACAATCATACCGGATCACCTACCGCAGCGGGCAATTGATTGGATACACAGATGCCGATTTTGGTGGCTCTGTCGTCACTGACGGTGCCTACTCAACATCTGGCTATGTCTTCCAACTTTCAGGCGCGCCAGTTTCCTGGTCTTCTAAGAGACAGGGGGAAGTGGCCACATCTATAACCCACGCCGAGTATATCGGACAGTACAATGCTATTCTGCATTTACAGTGGCTTCGCACCTTTCTGGCTGAAACTCACCTGTACCGCTCTCCAGTCACCAACATCATGGCTGACAATCAGTCTGCCATTGCTCTCTCTCGCAATCCTGAGTTCCACAAACGAACGAAGCACTTCAATGTAAAGTTTCACTACCAGCGTGCCGTGCTGGACACTGGCGAGATTGGGCTTCAGTATGTTCCGACCGAGGAACAGGCCGCGGATGGTCTCACCAAGCCCTTGGGACCTACAGCCTTTGTCAAGTTCTGTAGTCTCTTAGGAATCGACGCCTCGGAGATTCCAAGGCAACATGCATGACAGCACAGGCGCTCTTTCCACTTTATTTTCCCACGAAGGTTTTGAGTGGTTTTACCGAGGCCTGAATGCTCTGCACAACTCCAGTATCGCCCTGCCAACAAGACGATTCTGAGGGGGAATGTTGTGATATACGTCTGGTGCAGATCAGGAACCAAGCCGTCCCATCGGAATTAATGCCGAAGTATCTATACGAAGAATCAAGTTGATTTCCAATCAACTTGTTCGTCTCGTTGTATATATAGCTTCATATTCCCCTTTGAATGATAGTAACAATCAATCTTCCTTTGAATTACAACAGGGGCCGATCCAATGTAATCCAAATCAGTGTAGGATTCTTAGTTTCGTCTCAGTCCGAATGAGACCTGGTTGGAACGGCCAATCCAAATCATGGAATCTCGTGCGATCAAAAAACGGCCCCCAAATAAGGAATTGAAGGATGACCCACATCCCGGCAGTCCTTCGTCCTGGATCTACCCTGCTCAAAGCTAGGCAAGAAATCAGCAACCTTTCTTCTCCTCGTATCAAATATCAATATATGCCTAGTTTCTTATACCGTATCCTAGAATCCATGAAGTATCGGCAGGAGTAAGCATCAGAGCATGGCGTGCTCTGCTGTCTCTTTTGAACCCCCCCCCCGGGAGAGTAAGATCTAACTTTCTGAAAACCACAACTTAAGTCCATTCGACCAACCGCCAGCTCGGTATTGTCTTTGGACTAACCTTTGGTACGGCCAAAGCCTTTTCGAGGGACAGACGCCTATTGACCAAACGTGTTCGAGTGCCCAGTCCCGTGCGCCAGTGGCGTTCGAGTGTAACCTTGAATGGATCGATTGACTGTTTTACCGGCGCTCAAGCTTCGGTGTTAAAAGCGCCGGAGGCGGCAGGGAAAGATGAAAGGCGAGAAAACTCCGTCACCAATCGGGACACCACAGTGTCAAAGACAGCGCACTAGCGCACTCTAGACTGTGAGCTTTGTGACAGTAATGAGCTGTTCACTGTACTGCCGCCACGATGCGATGCATTTGGAAACAAAATTTCCAGAGAAGTTGAGACCAGTTCGGGTTTTCACTGAGTGGCGTATATGAAAATCAGAAACATCTAGGCTACTATCATGCCAACATAAACGGACGCTATATTCTACCCGTAAGTCATTCCACAGGCCTCGGTTTTATGGGCCGGTTGAGATGGCACCCTAATAAAATATCCTTCATCAGTGGCCACAAAGTATGGGATTGACAAACTGGAGCGAAAAGTCTATAGGTACCTCCCTCTGCCTGGCCTTTTGCCAAATAGAACAATAACTGTCAGTAAATAGCCGGGCAAGCCTTACGTACCAGAAGCAATCAGAAGATTCCCACACTTTAGTCTATTCATCGTACTGATACGAATATACTGTGTACCATGACAAAGGCAGTAGTGTTAGGCAGTTTACGCGGCAACCCCTAGCAGCCTGTGTGTTCCCGAGACAGACATATCAATGCCAAGCTGATATTTGTTGGGGTTTCGTGTCCACATTCTTCCGTACGAGCATGAACTCCCCATTGTTATTTGACCGAGCTGACCTACACTCAGTCTCACCTCTATGTTTATCATCATATTGAAGCGTGGCCACGTGTCACAGATATGTGCGTAACTACCCGATCGTTTGGTACTCTGCTGACATTGAAGATGTAGCGAAGTTCTCAAATTCGCGCATAGATCGAGACCAACCGATAATCTGCACATTTCAGCCTGGCCGAGATCTAATCTCGGACACGAGAACATGTGAGTTGTCACGAGTCATTTCATGGTGTTTGCTAATGATCTGTGACAGATGCTTCGGTCTGTCTCGGTCAAAACGTGATTGTCTGAGCCCCATAGTGAATACATCACCACAAGACTGCAGTCTCCTGCCAAACGGAACCCGACTCCATAACTTCTAGGGATTTCGCTCGAGTTTTCCAAATTATAGTGCGTCACAACGCATGGAGTAAATCCTCAGAGGGCAATGTGCTTGACGTGGCTTATCTGCTATCCGCCCAGTATTCCTCTGCGGCAAAAATTCACACAGGCTCGACTATCTGCGGCCGGTTACTAGGGCACTTTTTGGGGGGATATTTTTGCGGCTAAATCTGGTCAGTTGTCTCATATGGTTTGACATAGATCCACCACAGTGTTGCACGTTCCCACAAATAAGCGCCCGACTGTATGAGAGCAGGCAGACAGATTTCAAGTAGAGGGCCCGAAGGACATATTAAGGCATCTAATCGACCGAGCATGCCGATTCGGCCCGCGTGAAAGTAATCAAACCACTGCACGAGAAAAGTCCACTTGCATCCCCACAAGGTCGACAAAATCAAACAGGCTCTGCTATCATGGATATGAAAGTGACCACATCGGCTGGCTGAGTCGACACCGGAGCGGCAGGTGCCTGTGTGCCTAGGCCTGACTTCTAAACTTGGCCAAAGCCAGCTAATTCCGGATTCTGTGACAGATCTTATTTCAGCAGCTACGGATAATGGCAGTCATCGATCGGAAATGCAAAACCCATGTCAGATGATATTCGAGCAACTTCAGTTATATTACAGGGCTTTGTTATCGTATCCACCGAAGCGATGGACTCCTTTCAACGTTTATGTGCATTTGTTCAAGAGTTCGATTTCTCATGCAATACGTTCTCGACCTTTCGTCCGTGTGTACAAGTCCTGAGCCATCGATGACGCTGGTGCTACCAACCTAAGAGGCTTTATAGCTGCCCTGATACCTAAGCGAGTAAGGAAATCATCTATAAGAGCTTCATTTCTGCATAGAAAAAATTGGTTTATACCCACTTGTCGTATCTATCTCATTTTCTATTAAACAATAATGAGCGCAATATTGTAAGCTGGAATACTTCATCTTTAAATACACGCGCGTAAACACACAGATAAAATCTTGATCACCATCCCTTGACATGGTATTCCCACGGCCCATAATCAGTGGCATAGTTAGTCCATAAGCCAACATTTGGATTATCTCTATCCTTGGCCAGGCTGGAAGCATTCGACTCTTTACAATCATCATGTTGGGTTGGGGGTATTACCTCCTGTAGATTCTTTGACTCTGGATGGTCTTGGACAATTCTCATGTCGTGGACGGTGCCTCGTCGTTTCAAGAAAGCGTTAATAGTCGGGTCACTTTGCTGACGCTCCCAGAGAAGGTTCCGGCGGTCCGAATCACTCAGCTCGGTAGCAAGCAATTTACGACGGACAGTGCGCGGGGAGTGCACGAGTGAGGGTGATGGTGATGGCGATGGCTTCACAATGACGGGCTTCGATCAGGGCACGTTAGAGCCATCCATAGTCGAGATTCCTTGGTCAATTTCCAGAGGGAGAGTAGAGATGGACAGATTATTTGATGATATTGGGCAAGACCCTTGTGATACGGAACTAGAACGAAAAGCGTTTCCTTGCATCATTTCTGGATTATTTATCATCATGGTGAGCATCGACTGCCGCGATACCAGATTTGGCCGGGAATCCACTCGCTGGAAAAAGTGCCTGTATTCATCATCACTGGATCTGTCGCTTTCAAAGTCCGAGTCCCCACATTCGATATCATCGTCATCCTCAGATGCACTCATTGAGACTTCGTTGTCGTTTTCAATGACGTCCTTGTCCGAGCTGCGTTGGTTGTTGGGATGTTGAATCGTGCGCAATGAGACCTGATCACTGGACCTGGCCATCTTACTCATAACCCTGGCCTCGGGCCTTGCCAATCCAGTATCTGGCGCATCATCCTGAGTCAATCGTGCAGTCATGTGTTCTATAAAAGAGCCCCCATCGTCTTGAAAGGATCCGCCCAGTGTAAATACCCCCAACCTCTTCTTGGGTGGCGAGGATTTGGGCGGAGTAGTTGTCTGTCTGAGAATGGGGCTAAATTGCGATCGGAGCAAAGACGAGACGTGCAATGGAGAGAATCCGCGAACGATGCTAGGCGACTTCCACAATTTAAATATGCACGAACCGACGCCGGAGGGCGAGATGCGGGTGTTGGACGGGGAAACCGATGCAGAATAATTCTCCTTGCCTTCGGGTGTGATAGTCAACGGTGACACATTAGCCTTGGGTAGTTGCTGGGTTGGTCTGGGGAAATTAGGGATCTCTCTAGCGAGAGAAACAGAGTTAGATCCGAGGGCCGGGGAGCTATGCGGTGGAATCTCTTCAAACCACTCATGGCCTAACCGATCGCTTGGACAACTGATCATCATCATGTTCAAAGCGAGGAGCCGGATAGAATGCCTGGACAAACTGAAAAAACAATAATCTTTTGGAGACAGCCAGCCGCCAGGAGGACGAAGGCTTATGTTATGGGATGGTTTCGCTAACTGAACTTGTATGCTGGATCGAGTGGTAGGCAGGCAATGATCCAGGAAAGGACATATATTCTCTAATAATATCGTAAGGGGGAAGGTTGGCGTGGCCGATTATAGTTAATAAAGCTTAAGGCGTGGTAATCTTGATAGTGTCCTTACATCACTGTAGAATAGCCTTTGGTCTAGAATCTTACTAAGAGAAGTCGATTCTGACTCAGGAATGGGTAGAGATCTGTTTCGGGCTAGACTGGTTTATTAACTTTAATAGGCATAATCGACATTTGTAGACTGTTTTGCGTGGTTGCGTATCTTGATTGATAAAAATAACGCGATAGGTCTGTGGGACTTCCTGCCCTACCATTGGCTAGATAACAGGATTCTAATCTAAAAAGTTTGTAAAGGTTGGTCGGGGAAAAAGCCTGAGATTAGATAATGTAGTTGGAGGGGAGCTGATTAGATGTAACGACAGACAAAAGCTCCCCCCATACTCTCTAATACTGACGTTCACTTGACCGAAAATAGACAGCCAGGCAAAAAAAGTTTAAATTCATGTCTCGTAACAGGTGGTTGTTGAAGGCAAAGTGGACTATTTTCCTGGGTTGGTGTTTCTGCCCTGGATCACGATTCCAAATCTCGAACTCACAACGGCATAAGTAGAAAGAAAAATGAGAAATAGAAAACACATGGTGCATGGGAACAAATGTACAAGCCATCGCACAAATAATATACGGATACAGGAGCCTTGAGGTAAAATAAGAAACCTCATTTGGGAACCAAAAGGCATGATTAGACAAGATAAGAAAAAGAAAAAGGCATAAGAGGTAAGAAGGATCGGAAGTGCTGGCTAGATCAGAACAGTATGAAGGTCTCTCGATCCTCTGGGATGAGTTGCCAACCCAGACTGAGCGCGAATTGGCTGAACTCGTTGAAGTCCGGGTCTAGTTCATCGTGCGACACCATGACTCCATCGCGTTCCTTGGTCGTGGCTACTGCCTCGGCACTTTTAACGGCTGTTAGGGATAGAGGGGTATCGGGAGTTGGGCAGAAATCTGGGGTGGACTGTGTATCTGCTGAGAGAGTCTCAGCTTTAGGTGAGTTGGTAATGAATGGGACCATCTGTGCCAGATGTGTCTTCTGGGCGGAGAGATGTATCATCAAACATCATTTAGTGTTAATTGTATTATTAGAAAAGAAAAAGAAGCAAAAACCATTCCGACCAAAATTTGTCCAACTGTAAGCCTTTACCTGCAACTTCAAGTTCACAAGCCACACTAGAAAAGCGCAGCCATAGCAATGAAAGCAGCACCCAAAACACCAAACAGATCGCCCTTGCCCGATGAAACAGCAGCGTTGAACGGTGTCTGACTTGGTAAAGTCGAAGCGGTCGCTGAAGCACCCATTGAACCGGTAGGCATCATCGTCCCAGTCATAGGCCAGGATGTAGTCATGCTACCTCCCATACCTCCCATCATCAAACCAACCTACCCAAAAGCGAAATCAGTTTTTGAGAAAAGATAATTTTTAAGAAAACATGTGTTGAGGTTAAGTAGCAAAGAGGAAAAAATGAGAAATAAAAGAACAATTATCTAAATTACCTCGACAATAGCAGGACCCGCGACAATGTTGTCATCTGTCGCCGCCTTATTTCCCTTCGTGAGCACAACGTAGCTCTGTCCAGCAATTCCCTTAGGAATGGTCACGGTGAACATGCCCTTTCTGTTTGACTTCAAAGTAGCCCAAACAGGACCAGTGACAGTGATGAAGGCAGCGTAGATATCATCTGTGTTAGACATGTTGAAGCCGCGGCCAGTCATCAGCTGCACAGTTGAGCCGGTCATCACGGCGCTTGTAGAGCTCATGGTTAGGCTTGGGAAGGCCTTAACGGGCAGGGCGCCATTGCTGGATGGGCAGGAGGAAATGAACGGCGAGGCAACGGTATACACCTCGTTGAAGTCGAGTGGGTTGTCGAAGGCCTGGGGGGATGGTGATTCGGCGAGCGCGGCACGGAGGTATGCGCTGTGTCGTGCTTCGACGGTGAGGATACTTCCTGCTGCTCCGAGGTAGGTGGCATTCATGATGCTGCCGGCGGCGCCGAGGTAGGCGCTGACTCCAACACCTGGTATCTACGTTAATAGCTACTAGTGATATTTGTTGGGGTGGGGGTGATCGATACCTTCCAACACGCTAGCAAGGGCGAGGAAGCTCTTGACGTCAGTTGAGGGGAAGGTGTAGTTGCAGCGGGCAACGGGGGATGCGCCGGCAGCTGGGATGATTTGGTTATTGTTATACTTTTGGTTATAGGTGGATGTATCCTTACCACTCAGAGCTCCGGTCAAGAATGTTTCGTGAGACTTCTCATCAGATGCGATCTCTTCAAGATTGGCATAGAAGGTAACATTGAGTCCGGCATTCATGAAGTCCTCCTTGGTATAGTTCTTGAGACCCTCCTCGTAGAAGGAGGCTTCGAGGTGCTCAAGAGTCAATGCGTAGTTAAGGATATCAGCTGAAAGAATTGTTAGTTACCTTGTTACTGTTTAGTTGAATTTCCTGAAAGGAACATACCATCACTAATCGCACGCTTGGCGACTGGGCCAGCATTGGAAAGACCAATGGCAGCACCAGCCAGAGCAATATTGGTAACCTTCATCTTGGTAATTGGTACTTTATTAAAATATTCTCCAAGTCGAAGTCTGAGCCCTGAAAAATTCCTCAGAAACAATGCAAGAGGGGGTATTTATACATCTCGGGGCCTCCATCTCATATCGAGAATCCAAATCGAGAAAGATTCATGGTAAGCTCGGATAGCAATGCTTCCGACAAGAGCGCGGAGACTTATCAGCCATTCATGCAGGGCCCGTCCGCTTTAGGTCGGTGCATTTCGAGCTATTACCTTGGCTTGAAGTCGATCTGAACCAAAACAAGGTAATTGTGCCTAGCTCTAGGCACATGCTTGTCAAAGTGCGGGTACGTATAGGTCAAAGAGGTGTGGGGTAAAGAGCGAGACCGAGAGCGAGACCGAGGATTATAATGGTCCCGGGGAATACGATAACGAACGGCCTACCCGTGCACGCACCCCCTGCCGTGTTCCCGCCAGGGGCTTTCATGGTTGTAGGGAGCACCCCTGGCGGGAACGGTGCGTGCACGGGTATGGGAATCTTGAAAACTTGGACTCCGAGAACGAGGAACCTATGGGCATCGAGGTCGGGTATTTTAGCGTAATGTAATTTGGAATGAGTGTCTTGTATTTCTTTGATGTATCCGAGTTTGATTACATGAAGTGGCTTTGGACATCTACTCCCGAAAGAATATGAGCCACGGGCGATAGGAGTATGACGTACCCAGAAATTCAGTGGGAGTGATGATCTAGTTACTCTTTTCCTGTTCCGTGACATACGTGGCTGTCCACAAAACCCAAGATAAAACAGAGTGTACATCTAAGGTTCAACATTGTCGGTCGGAATCTCCGAGACCTTTGAAACAGGCCGTTCGTGGAGCGATGACCACAGATCATCACCTCTCTAAAAGATAACTGGCCGGCTCTTTCTTCCGGAGGATCCGATGCCAATCACGACGCGGCAGATGCCAAGGCAAAGTTCACGTACTTTTGATCCCCCTACTTCCGCTCCTCCCTCCGCGGAGGCCAAGTCCACCCACTAATTTGATCTCAATTGAGTAAGGCTAGATGGTCGAAAGTTTAATGGTGTCAGGCGTATACATCATCTATTGCCCTTCAGGTCAAATACCTGGCTAGATTTCAGCCACCACACCTCATTAACATATATTTTTGGTAGACTAAGAGGAATCGGCAGGACTCCCTCGGGGCTTTCCAATCATGGTGATCTCATGCGTAAGTTTGTAGATTCGGTACCAATCAGATGCTATAACACATTAAAATGCAAATTATTACATGACTTCATTGTAATTCCGAGCTCAATTGAATTATCTATATATTTTAAGGCTAATCTTACCTTATATAGGTCTCCATCTTTCACCTATTGCTCTTGCTTTGATTGCCCCTGTCTATTCCTGCTTCTTAAACCACATCAGTCACCGTTGTTCTCCTTTTCAATCCCTTTCACTTCATACCTTGTCACGCCAGCCTCGTCAAAATTGTGACGCCCAAACTTGCCCCTCGAGAGACACATCTTGGACCCATGTCTAATCCCAGCATGCGAATGCCAAAGGTGGACGAGTTTTTTTTTTGTATCGGGGGAAGACAGGTATACCACCAAAGGTGACACGGCGATGGAGGGCATTCAATATGGCCCAAAATGGTCTGAAAATGTCTTTGGAATCGCTCACCTGAATCGTCACCTTTCAGTCACTTGAGGCCCCATCAAGTTTTGATTTTACATTGTTTCCTGAAAGGGGAGCCCTTGCTCTTATATCCACCTCTCAAATTTCCAGGTACAAGACAACAGCCGAGTCCGCGATTATTTTCCATCCTCATGAGGTCCAGATGGATCCACTACAAGAAAACTCATCATCCACTTTGCCACTTTCCACAGGATCGCAAACCACAGATTCCCAAGATTCAATCTTTAAGGTAGGGGGAAAGTGAGTCGTTCCATGCCAGTGGTCCATTATATGTTTGTATATCGCTAATGCCGACACCACAAGCTTTCGTTTCTTTACTACACTCCATACGCCGACTGCAATGCTTGATAGTATTCATGAGCCGCCAGTCTCCTATCTGAACAAAAATGACATCTATCATCTCACTGTGAGAGATACCACACCGGTCTCAATTACTAAAGGACTGATTAGATACCGAACTTTTGTTCGAGTCTCGTTTCACCAAGAGGAGCAGAGATCGAACCCTGGTGTCTATTGGCAATACTGGAAAAAGGGTCGAGGGAAGAGTTACCCAGAACCTCATATGAAAGGTCCCTTGGCCGTTGAGTACGCGGGTCAGAGCTCCTTCATTGAGGTTGAGCAGCAGTCCCTCGATGGATTTTGTGTCACATGGATTAGTGCCCCAGCTTTACTGATGCCAGAGTGCAACATTTCAATCCGGTTCGATTTCCTTTCCACCGATTTTACGCGTTCAAAAGGAATGAAAGGCATGCCTCTTCAGCTCTGCGCAAAAACGAACCAAGTCTCAACAGAGGACACTACATACCCTTCTGATCAACCGGAGACCTGCTACTGTATATTAAAGCCCTTCCGCGATCATGGTGCACAAAGAAAGCTCTCAAACGACAGTGCAAACATTATGAAAACGATTGAAAAGGCAAGGACGCAAGCTGCAAACGGAGAACAGTCAGGGAAGTTCAGAAGCAAGCGCAGACAAAGCAAGATTAAAAAGAGTAGTGAATCTGAAATGCCGTGGGATAATGCACAGCAATCAAGTCAGATGAAAGTTTCAGCTGATACAAAATACAAGACAAACCTCAAGATAAGACTTGCGACATTACAGAAAAAGATGCACTCCACTTTCCTTCAGAGTGTGCTTTCTCTTCGCGGTGATGAGGAAGATGACCCTGACTTATACCCAGTTCAGTGGTCTAGTGGATATGAGGACCTCGAAAAAGGTGCTGCGAAGCTTGATATCAACAACGATCGCCGAGACTGGGGTGAATTCACCTCACCGGACATATCTAGCGACACCATGGTCAGTGGCAGACCTACAGGCTCTGAGCAATTGAACCCAGCGAATATGAAGAGTATAATACCAAGCGATATGAACCTAGCACGTCAAGGTTTAGCCAAGCGAGAGAATCTGCGAGGTACGTTTAAATCATGCTTCAAATCCTCGTGAAGATATTTGGTGACAAGCGATTGACTAACATGCCTCTAGTTGCGTGCTTCTACATCCGACTAGTGAACAAAGACCATTCCCAGAAATATTACCGAGTCATACATCTGGCGGAGCGTACCGTGAAAGATTTGGCAAAGAATCTAGTTCGAAAGTATCCCGAAAGCTTTACACCGATGACCCGATTACTATACATGAATCAAGCAGATTTGAAAGTTGCTGTTGATGATGTGATTGTTCAAGTTGAGAAAACTGAGAATAACTCAGAGCTACGACTGATTTTCAGATTGGAAGAATGGAAGAATGATTGGTAACTCAGGTAGAATAACTCAAGGTGGACGTTTATCTACCTGCGCGATATCAAGGTGGCTTATAGTGTTTCGAAACAAGTTTACCACTGACTCATAACGTATTAGAAGATTTTATATCTACTCATGAATTTTACAAATCATTACGAGTGGACATAGAAAGATGAGCTCATAAACCGTATCTTTCAAAGGCAAGTATATGACATAGCGGGGACATCTAGAGAGAAACGAAGGCAGTGACAGCACCTGGTTCAGTGATCCTAGAGAGGGAAGTGTTCAGGATGTATTCAATCACGACCAGTGGCAGGTACATATGATGAGGGATGTGATGTCCATACTGGTGATGATCTGCAGTGCCGGGGTAGCTAAGGCTTGCTGTACTATACGTTACCCCAACAGTTCTCAGTAGCAAATAGACGATTTTCTTACTTGGCTGTAGATTGCTCCATGATTTTATGGCCCGTTGAGAAAATGGGCAGTACAGCCTTTCGAGGCAAATAGTGGGGAGCTTAATTCATACAGGAACAACAATTTATAACTCGTGAACCGATGCACATGTGCCTAGTCTGAATTTGTGGTACTTCCCAAAAGTCCCCCAGCCAATTCCAAACTTCCCTCACTAAGGTCTTGATGTAGGGCCTGAAGGGGCCACTGAAACTTTAGTAGGCTGACCAAGCAACTACCCCTGGGTCAGAACTTCTGATATCATGAGCGTGGTTAGCCCCCTCCCCATTATAGGAAAGAAAACCTGGAAGTTCACCAATACCTTGTTTTATGAACTGATGGTCTAGTAAAAGTGACCAGATTGTCTTTTCTCCGTGTGTCTTTTCAATTAAATTTGCGACGGAATTCTTTTCCTATGATTGTTTGCTGTTAATTATACATCGCCCCCCCCCCCCCCCCTCCCATCTTCTCGTGAAGCTCTAGATAACCACTTATGCATGATAGTCGAGCTGAAAGCCTCCATTGTTGGTGTACCTAACGGTGGCAATGTTCTTATCTTGTCCTTCGCTCGAGTTGAGGTCGACTATTCCAGCACAGCTAGAAGCAGGCTTGAAGTCAATTATAAAACCGGCTGGATATTCGGCCCGGCTAACATAGAACTTCATCTTAGGCTTTATCTGTGTCGTCATTTCATTAGAAGCTAACACCTAAAAAGTATAAAATCTTTAAATTAGACTAATATTCTGGCTTGTAAATAGATTGACTTTTCTCTTGCCGTTGCAACTGGGATAAGACGGCCGTGGCTGTCTATCTTTGCTACACTGAGAAGGTATCTGCTGTTGGGACTTGGTAGATCATTTCCAGTGAATATTTCAAAACTTGCAGGGGGAGCCCCGTGGGTACTCTCCATCAAAATCGCAGCATCATTGATGGTGGTCTTCATCTCAAAGGAGCCTGTGAAATAATGGTATCAGTACAGAGCGATATATAACAACGAGTCCCTTGCTTGCAGCTGAGGAAACGTACTGCCTCTCCGACTGTCTATGCCCAGGGATGCCAGACGTCCGACTCCACTGGGAATTTCCACCCCCGGTGCGGGGAGTTGAGGTATCGTTCCTACCCCTACAAAATTTAGCTTCCAGCAAGAGCACTTTTTATGTTGGAAACGACTACAACAGCGGCATGCCCAACCTGGAATGGAAGAACATACAAGCGAAAAAATCTTCATCGGTTGCGAAGTCAAAATTTCCACCGCTCGGAATAAACGTGCTGGTCCAGGCATTCGAGAAAACTTCATTGTTGTTGGAGAATTCAGGAGGATCCATAATGATGGAAAAGAAATTGTCGGATGTGCTCTCGTTTAACAAGTGGATATGATAGACAGTCATGATTCAGAAAATAATGTAAGATCAAGACGGCTTGACTGTTGATCAAAGCTCCGTTGACTGTATGATGGATGCCGGGCCTGACAAGGAGAACCTGTCTATTTATGTATTCAGCCACAAAGGTTGGCCGGTAATACAGACCACTGAGGGGATCCGCTTCAACTTTACGTCTAGCGTTGGTCTGGGGTCGTGGATGACGAAATGCGGCCTGCTGAATACGAGAGCGAATTCTATGCAAGCAGCTGGTCCACGGGACTCCCTGACCGGCCCCACTTGAGGTGATGTGAAACCAAATTGCTTGTTACATTCTGTGTCAAGTGGAATGGCTGCAATTCAGGTCAGTTGCGTAGACATCCACTATGATACAATGACAGATGTTATTGATCTTTTTTAATGGTCAATTATCCCTATGATAGACAGTCAAGATGCACTCATTAGACAGGTAAATGGAAAATAATATTTTTTACCTTAAGCTTTCAAGGCATGTGAAGATCATCTGGTTTTGTACGTGTAGTATGCTAGACACTCTCCTTGGGCATACAATGGGCGCTCTTTTCTTGAATATCTTCTAACTTCCCCTGGCAGATCCTACTGATTAGACAAACAGAGCGCCGGCGGTCACATCATAATGACATCACTTTGGACATCCAAAATCTACTCTCTGTGTTATGAGAAGTTAAGACCAGTTACCACACGAAAGGGAAACTACGCTAGACCTAGGACTTTTATCGGAGGTTGATGGCATGATGCTGGTCTTGCCTCCGACGGTATCCCGATCCCTTGACAGCCTAGACCTCCTCGCTTGCCTCGTTTACTCTTGTCCAGTTTCCTATGCCTTTATAGTTTTTACATCTACATTCGAGGGCGACCGGTTAGAAACTGCGAGTCTCGCGAAAGGGTCGCGACCAGTGGGCTGGTAATCACTTTCTAGCTATCGGTAGGCCTGACAGCACTCCCGCTAGCAGCATATATCTAGATCAAGTTACATCAGGCAAATGAATTTATCATCTTTAGTAGCATTCTACTAATTCAGATCTCGGAGTCTACGTGTTCGCTACTTCAGGCATAATTCCAAAAGACTTGGAATATCAAAATGACCTGTGCATTATCTTTAAATGTTCATTTTATTCATGAGATAAAATATGCACTCGGCCAGATTCGGTGAGCTGTTCACTAGGGCGCGGGTAGATAATGGGTGAGATGACGAGCACCATCCTCCGTCCCAACGATCCAACAGAATCCAGCATCAATGAAGAGACCCAACATATCACTCCCACATGAGACCAGGGGTGTAAGAATGCATACTATTATAATTATGGCCTTATAGCCTTATAATCCGGAGTGAATCGACTTATTTTTCTTTCGGTTGATGGAATAGCATGATAAAGATTGCGTCACCTATTGGCTAACTAACGGGATTCCAATTTTGGACTTCTATTACATCATATATATACCATCACATGCCAGTATGCGTCTGCTGTTAGATTCAACAGAAAAGGCGGGGTGAGACGGCAAACCAGATGCACTAATCCAAGTTACCCACATGTATATAGATGCCTGGTTCTATACCCCTCTGTTTTCTCCCTACTGCTAAACTACCCATTATAGGCATACTATACAGGTAGATTGTTATACTCCACTATGATCGGAACATCTACTGCTGAGTACTTCTTTATTCGGATTTGCATCCTATTTCTTCACAACATTGCACCAATCAGTACTTTATACACCGTTCACTTACTCGTCGTCCAATTCTTTCAACTGCCAACTTATCCCGGACGCATACCCTACTCTATTCATATTTGGCTCACTGCAGAGGCAGTCTTTTTCTTCACTGTCTTCGTACCGCTCAAATATGCTCTTCACCATTCTCCTATTTTCCACAGACCTTTGTCTGTGGAGCTCAGGGAGAAATTGTTTAGGTGCTGCAATAGGAATGTACCAAGTTTGGAGAGATATCTCAGCCAGTGGCTTATGGTCTCAGATGCTGAATGCATCAAGCGTGATAACGTGAAAGACTTTATCAGATGGGCATTTTTCAAACCTGAATATACGCAGGGGCTGGACCAGCAGAATGAGGATGAACTCGAGACCTATACAGCAGAAGTTGAGCAGCTGATGGAGCGAAAATTGTCACCGGGAAGGATGGATGTGAAAGGCCTAGGACAGCTTCTAAATGAAGCAAGCGGTTCACATCGTAGCCTGCTATGGTACACTGTGAGATATCTCTCTTCATTTCTATCTGTGATGGAATTGTATCAAACTGACAATTCAATTCACTTAGTGCGTCTTTGTGGTTGACACAACAATGCACTGCAAGATGTTGTACAATGGATTCCATTTCCATCGCAATTCGCTGTCACAATTCTTTGCCGTATTCCCATTTCGCCCTCTGACGATATTCACGGCCCGCCGATCACCGGCGCGCCATCTCACATATTGGCATCGACGGCATACATCTAAAAAGCGGCTACCCGTGCTATTTATACATGGTATCGGAATTGGTCTGTACCCCTACACGAGCTTCCTCCGAGACCTTAACAATGAACTAGAGATGGGAGTGACAGATGATAATGAGGTTGGCATCATCGCACTTGAGATCATGCCGGTCAGCTCTCGGATAACTCATCCAGCTTTGGAAAAGGATGTGATGATCTGTGAGATCATGAAGATCATCCAGTATCATGGGTGGAGCAGATTCGTGCTTGTGTCTCATTCTTATGGTTCCATAATCGCTTCACACCTTCTCAAGTCCGATCGATTTTCTTCGCTCATCGGGCCTACGGTCTTTATTGATCCGGTATCATTCCTCCTCCACTTGCCTGACGTGGCATACAACTTCATAGCCCGCCAGCCAGCCCGGGCCAATGAATATCAGCTATGGTATTTCGGAAGTAAGGATATAGGAGTTGCACATACGTTGGCAAGGAGATTCTCCTGGATTGACAACATCATTTGGAAGGAAGATCTTGGGATAAAGGCCAAGAAAGACCAACAGGAGGGTAGAAATGTTACAGTTGTTTTGAGTGGGAAGGATTTGATTGTGGACACCGAAACAGTGGGACAGTACTTGATGGGTTCATCATCTGAAGCCCGGACATCAGAAAAAGAAGCATCACGAGCATGGAAAAACAGGTCCTGGATTGGGTACGGGCTTGATCTCCTGTGGTATGAACAGTTGGATCATGCTCAGGTTTTTGATTTTGAGAATACCAGGCGGCCAGTCATCAGGGCGATCTCTGTATATTCGAACACAGGCTGAAACTGGCCTGGTTGGCCGACATAACGGCCAGTAATTGCACACTGCGGGGAGAGGTATGGTCTCGGTATTATCTGTCACAAAGCTTGTGGTGCACCAGTTTGGGATTTGAGCATTACCATGGCAACACGTTTTGGTTCAAAATAAAGAACGAGTAGATATCGATTTATGTATGCTTGCTTATGCATCACTTTATCCATTCATCCATTCATAAACCCTCGTGTCTTGTGCTATAACTATCCATAAGGCATTGAAAACTTCTACCGCGCCCATAAACAGAGCGTATATCAATTGATAACATGGTAGATATATCAAGGCGTTTAGCTACAACTTGCAGTCTAGGCTCAGTGAGAGATGAGCTTATGTTTGATTTCTGAAAGACAATTTTCTTTTAAGAAAGACAATGATGAAGGGAATGACTGGCGGTAATAGCATCAAGCATCTTGCTGGATGATAATCATGCTCATGATCCCTAAAACTATTTGAAATATGGCCCCCGCTGTCTTCAGCTTTGTCTTGCTCACGGTTATGTGAGGGAATACTGATAATAATTAGCTCTAAAAATGTCATCAATATCGGAGAATAGACTAACCTTCCACTGCGTAACTTTGCCGTCAACTCGATGTAGTCTACCTCCATGTTCCTGGCTAGCAATCTAAGGCCAGTCAATTTCATGGGCCATCCTCATTATTTAAGTTGTTATGATTGCTGAAGGCGGTTTCCTCTAGAAAAGCCTTGTTCTTGTTATCATTCGCGACGCCAAGAACTTCCATCACGTCCTGTAGATTCCTGTCTTTAGAGGCAAGCTTCTTGTGATGGTCGCCGATGCCGGGCCAGAATCTGAGATGCACTTCTATGTGCCCGAGCTTCTCGCCATTATCCAGCCCACAGTTAGCCTCTGCTCGCTTGACATCACCTTTCCACACTGGCAAGGTCACCATCTTCTCCTCATCATCAGGTATGTCTTTGAGCCATAGAATAGCGAATGCTGGAATATGATGGTGGATATGACCTTTTTCCAGAAACTCAATAACAAGACTGGAGCAATAACGCTGTTGTACCGCAAGTTCAACTGGCTGACTTTGATGGCCACCCCAGTCATCAAGCTGTACCCTCATAGGATCGCTCCCGAATGAAGTATGCAGTTTCAACCAAAGTTCCTTATAATGGTCGGGCAAATCACTTAAGTCTATATCGGACCTTATCTGGAGAGTGCCGTACTCCCAACCTAGGAGTTCTCTGGGTGCTTGTAATTCTATCGACCGAAACACCATCGAGATACGAACGCGACCGTGTCCTGCAGCCGTAAATTAGTCGAAGGGGATATACCCTGATGAATGCAGACTTACCAATACCACCGGATAGTGAGAAATAATCATTAATTTGAGATCTTTGTTTGAAGATCTCTGCAAGTGGCAAGACAACAATTCCGACTAAAGGGTCGCGTTCATGCATGCGAAGATCACGCACTGTAAGTATGACCTTTGCTGTGCTCCAGTCACGGATGAATCGTTCTGCTCCAACGTTGAACTATGCTCGCGTCAGTTTCATCATCATACTGTGAATAAGTAGAAGCAACTTTGATTCAAGGATGTAAAGCTCATGTGGCAAAACGGCCAATATCTGTATACTGATCGTTTTACCCTATTTAACAGTCGCAAAGAACCTGCAAACGGGACGACCGGAATAGGTCCGCAAAGGAAAGAGACATACAGATGGTTTTGCACTTTTAGGTTTCGTCCGTGTCTTGAAGATTTTCTGATGATTTAAGATAACGGTGCAATAGCTGCTGAGCAGGTCATCACCTTCTGCTTGGTCATCGTCTTCAGGAACGCCGTCCCCTTGGTTCCTTTTCACTTTTTTGAATCCCAGGCCAAGGATTTGATGAATCTGAATCGCAAATATACCGCTGCGATAATCCGGGGAGGGTGGAGATGATATTATTATCTCATCTTTTCTGGTCTGTAGAGAATCAGTGAGTAGAAAGAAGAATTGACTCCAGTTCAATGGCTTTTACCTTGATGTCTTGCACTTTCTGCTGCTCAATCTTATGGAATTCGCCTTTTCTTGATTCTGGCAGCTTCTGTGGTGCCCCTCCTGCTACCTTGTTCTTAAGATCGTCGACATTTTCAACACCCCGATCATCGGACTCTGGTGCACGTTGAGTCGGTGAAATCCTTCTTTTAGAAAAATAACCCAAGCTCCAATCCAGAATGCATGGCATATCCTCTTTGGTACTAAGTTTATGCAACTTGTCTCGTCGATCCCACATCTTTCCATTCGTTTGGGGGCTTTGCATGGCCTCATTGAGCCCAATATCTATAAAGCCGAGATCACCGTGAGCTGTGGACTGGTGGGAATCCCACAGCTGGACCCCTGTCAAAGTATATGTTAGTCTTCAAATACACAATGGAAAAGTGAGAGAAGTCTCACTAAGTCTTTCCTGTGCATTCAATTCCTTGGGGCCGATGATAATAAATCCAGTCTCTTCCCAAATCGGTTCCATTTCCGACACAATTACCCTGGTTGCCCACACAGACTTTCCGAATTTGGTCCAGCTGACGGAGACATACGGATCAATAGACCTTTTCTTCATCCCAAACAAGCCTGTATTACTTCCCTTGAATCCCGTGGCCCGCTTGATCCGAACGACAACAATACCGTGAGCGCTTGTGTCTTTCTTAAAGTCCTCCGCCATAACCATATCCTTGAGATCCAACGTCAAGCTCTTGGGAGCGACATAGTTGGCCATCGCGGCGTCTACCGAATTCTGAACGAAGCTGGAAATAATCGGGAGATTCATGATATTAAGCCCATGCTTGAACACGGGCATGCAAGATAGGTTGACCTTGGGTTGCCCCATGAAAGTAAAAGTACTTTGGGCGAGGAAGGGAGGATCGGGTGTGAGTTGGAGTCGGAGACGGAGCATCCCCACGATGCCCTGTATCTCAACCCAGATAGCTATAGAAGAGTTCATCAGCTTGTACCTTACCAAATATGATGAGGTCAAAGTTCCGCGGTGCGAGAAGTAGGAGAATCATGTGGATACATGACTTGAATTCCATATTCCGAAGGGCTCAATATATTGTTGGGTACCAAGGCTGCGTAAAAAGATGCCATGTAATAGCCTTCAACCTTGGGGGCAGGAAAGATGCCGCAAGGCTCAAAATGAGAGAAAGAGAAACGCAAAACTTACGAAGATGTATACCTGCCGCTAGATAAATTGCCAGAAAGAGGTGAGCATTCTCAGCCATCGCGCTCAAGTTTCTTCCAGCAGGCCTCGCCTTGTATGCAAAGGCAACTTCGAGACTGACAAAGTCTCCTTCCTCGGCTTCCACGACTTTCATAAGGCTCTGTTCGTGTCCCCTTTGAGGCTCGTCTTTGGTGTACTGGTTGGGCTTATCGTTCCCCTTCTCACTGCCTGAGGCCGAGCGGCCATTCGCATCAGATGGGATCCATCGTACCCCCAAGATACGAGGTGCTTCGCTTCCTTGACCTAGGTCTTCAACATTGATCATATTTACCAGTTTTGGTAGACTGGCTTGCATGGAATCCTCAAGAGTGTCTGCCAGGCTGGCGAAAAGGTCTGGATTCACCAGTGGCCATATTGACGCCAGGAGAGAATTCAGCCACTGTGTCGACTCAGGGGTATGGGCGTCTGCTTTATCCTTTTCACTCTGCCTCTCACTTTTCAACGCCTGGACCGTCCAGAACCCATCAACTTTGTTTTCTACCCAATGTCGTAACCCCCAGATCCCAAAGACAAACACAACCGCTTCCAAGGTAATTGTCGCCAACACGGCATCGGCCTGTTGTCTTCGGCTTACCTCATTTAGACTTGATAACCCTTTGCTCAGATTGAACAGATAGACTAAAATAGGGACCAGTGCAATGATCAAGAGAACAACTCCCATTCCGACGTTGAAAGCGAATCAGAATGTCCTGATCAATTCAGTTTTTGCCTGCTCGTGGCCTGGCGCAAATAATCTCTCCATACCAGCATGCGCACCTTCGCCCTCCAAGGTTTTATTTGACTGAATCTTGCTCTTCAGTTTTGCAAGCTCACTCGGTCGTAGCCGTTGGCTGTCAGTCAAGGGTGTATTCTTAAGAGCGTTTTTGAGTTCTTGGCTTGTAAAGTCATGTATCATGACTGGAAGATGCGTAATAGGATCGGTCACTTCTCGTTCCCCATTGTCCTCTTTCCCATGATTTGTGTCATTCTGTTTATCCTTTGAGTCTTTTTCACACGATGGAGCTTGTGGCGTGTTCGTTTCATGCCCTCGTCCTGGACAAAACTTTGTATCGACTTGCTCCGCCTTGCCATCTTTAGATGTGTCAAACATAGCCTGGTTCTGGTGTAACGGTTTTGAGCCATGAGTGAACCCAGGCTCGCCTTCAAATCTGCCTTTGTTTGCTTCATCCTGCTCGTCCATGGTTTCGTTGAGTATAGCAGCCTCCGATCTGTGTCGCTGCTGCTATTGTTCGGTACTGCGGGAAAGCGATCAATAGAGAGGTTGCGATCGAGGATAAAATTAACAGGGCACTGTAAAAACAGCTAGGCGCGTTCTCATCCGTAGGCCAAACGTGTTTGAAACCACCTGGAGAATCGACTAATGGAGGCTCATCAGGTTTGGATTTGGGAATTTGAAGTAGAGGCAAGTGAAGAGGAAATCAGGCTATTGGATTTTCGCAATATGATGCAGTTCCCTCATAAGCGTATAATTAATTTTCATCAAAAGTCCACTCGATGTGCATTTCTATTACCAGTGCGCGTCACAACCAAATGACGTTCAGGCCCAACGGTCGGTTCCTAAGGCGGCAAGTTGACAAACTTCAACCTACCGAATCACCAATCAAGCCCTTGTACTTACGTCATCATTTTGTCATCGTTAACGAACTTCTTTGACTGAGTCCATGCTGTTGATTCGACTACGGCCACTTGTCACTCCGTTCTTAACAACATCCGGTACCTTACTTGGTCATTGGTATATAGTTGTACCGGCTTTCATTCTTTCTTCATCCACTATAGGTTAGGTAGCCGCCAAAGTCAGGAGCACGACGGAATCTTTTTGAGTCCAGTCCAGTTTAAGTGTACTCCTTCTGGAGTTGACCGTACACTCAACATTACCTAGCAGCAATTGGCGCAATCCGGGTTTTACTATCCTCCGCAGATGGTGCGTTGTTACTCACATGCTTCCTATGCAATTCTCTCGTTGGCATACTACGACCGAAGACTAGAAACACCGAACAGGCTCATCTGTCGCTGCGAAAGACAAAAGTTGTCGTAGGACACCAATGTTGCGAATTATAGTGATTCTTCTCAGACATACAGTAATCTACTTTTGTGAGCAGTTTTGGCGCTCGCTTGTGGTTCACGATAAGCAAAAATAAAACACATGTCAGAAGTGTTCTAATGACGTCAGTGGCCATATGGGTGGTTAAGATGGACTCGCAAGATTTTGCCTCATTAATTATCTTATTCTTTACGCCTCATGATATTTTAGTTAAATCATTATATTCTCTCCGCGGTGAACAAAATGCCGAGATGCCGTATTCACTATCCTATTCCTGGAGGTTGACATTGGTGCACCTTTCACCAACAAATTTGAGGTGACAATAACGAAAACTAAGATAGCTGCGCTAAAAATGCCATTGCAATGGGACGAACTGCCTTCTTGGCAACGCGATAATCAATATATCCTTTCAGGTTATCGGCCCTCATCCAACTCCTTTAGCAAATCATTTGCGAGCCTCACTTACCTCCATAACGAATCCGTCAACATCTATTCTCATCTTATCCCCGCAGTTATCTTCTCGTTCTTCAGCATCTCATTCTATAGCAGTATCTCACCCAGATACGAAAGCTTCTCGATCGCAGACTCCCTAGCTTTTGGCTGTTTCTTCTTGGGGGCTGTTCTGTGTCTTGGCATATCGGCAACCTTTCATACCATCCAGAATCGTTATTCGCACATTGCGCGCATTGCAAAACCAAGTGGATTATATTGGCATTATATTGCTAATTGTCGGAAGCTTTATTCTGAGTATATTCTACGCGTTTTACTGTCACCCCAATTTACAAATAATCTATTTGACCGTGGTCTGTCCTCGTTTCTCTTATGTCTTGACTGTTTGAAGGAGAGAGCTTACATAATTTCTCGAAGATGACTTTCCTCGGGCTACTTTGTGCTGCCATTTGTTACGGGGGGCTAACCGGTCACGGCTAGTGGTTAGACAGTTGGTGAATGTTACCTTATTGTTATCAAGGGAGTAGTTTTATTGGGGTTGCCTCACGTGATATCTACACTGACATTACTGAGGGCTTCTTCCCCTCCTACAACTCCACTGCGAGGTGGTTGCTTGTCTCTGTAACTATCTCGTCATCTCTCACCCAGTCAAGTCTCGATTTGCCCCTCCCACCTTCCCTCTGTACATAGAGACCGCCACAATACAGAGACATTGCCTCCCTACAAGGGAGCGCGGATGGGCCTTATCTGACGCCACGGTCTAAGACCGCAGCGACAGGTGACCCGTTACAGCCAACCAAACACGTTCCTGATCTTTCTTGACTGCGCGAGGTCACCAATAAAGTACAATTTAAGGCATTCGATCGGCGGTGTAACAGAAAGCTGACCTAATATCCACCCCGCTGATTACCGGCAATATTTTGTTGCGCATTCGAACTGTTAACTCCGGGGTCACGTTTGTTCAGAGGAACAGCGTCGAATACTAGATGGTTTTTTGCCATCTGAGCTATTCTCATTATAGCTACTGCCACTCGCTGCGTTGCTACCAAGATTTAATTGGCCGACAGGGCTATTACCGCCTTATTTAGAAACCAAGTTCGTCTCACAAGGAGCGACATGACTAGTGGTGGAGTGGGAGTTACGCACCTGCGTGAAGTGGAATGGTTTTCTTCGCTAGTCGTTTGATTTTCGTGGCCCTGGCTGTCAGGCGCAGATAAAAGGGCTCCCGGCGGGTAGATATGCACTGTTATGTCTGTGGAGGAAATACGGAGAGCCTCAGTCAAGCGATGTATAAGGAAGAGCCAGTTTTGCTTGAAAGGCGATCTAGGGACCCTGAATGCATACTAGTCCATACAATATCAGCCGGTTCCGATAATAGATTAAGGTGTACATATATTAAGATGTACGGTAAAATATAAGCCTGTTTCTACTATCGATCAAGGGCGAGTGCCAGGCTTGTTCACTTGACGGTAGTCTATTCTTCCGAAAGGAAGACTGCCCCGGTAATGTTTTCAATGCATGAGAATATGTGAACGCGACGTAGAGCCTATTCCATTAGGAATGCCTCCTCCACGGCCCTTCCACTTCCGCCATCGGGTCCTATACTTGCTGCACTGACACGCCGACTATCTTTGTAATGACCTGGGGAACGACCTCACACTACCATTGGGTACGAATGTCGACGGGCAATTTGTACCCAGTCTGACACTTCGCCACGTGGTACCTCGGCGTAAAGCTCCACAACCAGATTATAATATTGCTGTTGAGCACGGCGTTTGCCGTTGTTGGCAGTGGCCTTTTGGAATTGAATCCGTTCGAAGAGGTGCGAAGTGGGAGGTTGACAGGGTTGCGATGGTTCTGCGAACCCAAGGTTATAGTTTAGAGACGGTGAACTGAGAGCGAAGCCGCCATACTCACCAGCTCCAGTTGAGCAGGTGGTGAGCGATGGTGGTGGCATCGGCTGTAGGATCACTGGACCGGGTGTTCGCTCGGACTGCTTATCTCGTTTTGGCGTGTGTTGTATCAAGGGGCATGTTTCGTTACAGGATCCGTCCACGATTACAGAGATGCTCATTCCAAATCCCTTAATTGGTTCCAGAATCTGGTCATAAAGACGGATGAAAAGAGGCACTGTCGATGGCCAAGGATGGAGACCAAAGCTGCAGTCAACTGCGAAATAATTCCGTCGGTAGCAGGTCCATTTCCCATCCAATGTGAAGAACCCTGGTCTAATTTTGGCCTGAATTTCGGGATACACAAATTGTTGGGCCCCTCGAAACTCTACCACAAGCGGCTTAAGAATAGTGGTCTTTTCAAAAGGAGGTGCTTCCAACTGAGTTGAAAATCGCCGTGAAGGTTCTATCATCGGCTGCTAGAAGATAGCCACTTGGTTTCGGTCCAGTAATACATCCACGGCTCGAGGAATACCAAGATAATGACAATAGTGCGATACATCGTTTGCTCCAGAAAAAGGTAAGCCTATGCCTTCATGCGGGGAATTTGACGAATACGCATTCGTTCCTCCCGTAAAGCCCGAAATCGCGTTTGCGGTATGATTTGGCGTTTGCATGGCGTTTGACATACCAGCAAGCGGATTTCTTGCCAAGTGAAAGATCTGTTAGCCTCCAAATACCCAACGAGCTAAGAATATTTGTCAAACTAACAGAGCTGGGACCCCTTGAAAATCTGCCATTATATCAAATTCATGTTGATGTTGTGACAATCGTAGGAAGGGAGGACCAGAAGTGGGGGAGCATGAATCTATTTTGAGTACCCTTTCATCAGCCAAGAATGGCCTCAAAGCTGATGGTCACAATAAAACGCATACTGGAGCAAGAATTTGGAACAGTAATAGTAAATGCAGACGATCCGAGGTGGCTATAAGAAACGCAACTGCTTAGTATTCTTTCACCACGAACTGGTCCCGAGAGACCGACTTAGATGATCAAAGCAAGCCAGGAAAAATATCATGACGGGTAAGGAGAGCATAGTAAGGCTGAAACGGCCCGGACACTTGAAGGGAATGGGAGAGAGGATACAGATACAGGTTGAGATAAAAAGATCGGAAGAAACGCATGTATGACGTGATAGGTATAGAAGATACCGAAACGGATTGGCCTAAAATCCAAGTTGCTCGAACTATGAGGAGAAAGCAATGACAAGGAGGGCTGGGAAGGCCGGCCGAGTAGCGCGCAAGGGCAGCCTAAATTGAAATGACAGAACTACTTACTGCAAGTCCTCTATGACAGACTGCTGTGTGTGGTACCGCATGCCGTTGGCGACTAGCATAACAACAGGCCTTTCCGCTGGCTGGCTATCGTCATCGCTAATCGGAGATCCTGTCGCATGGGAGTTCATATAGTCTCCCTCTGTGGTAATGGGGCATTCCATGCCGACTCTGAAGGAGGAAGGTTGAAGAAGACAAGTTAGCTAACCGTCAAATAAAGAAAAAGCCACAAGGCAACCAGAAACCCCTAGTGATGAGATAAAGCTAGCCGTATGACGGAGAAGAAGAAGCGTAGAGTCTGGGAATGGGTAGTATTAATCTCTATTGTGTTGATGCCAGGTGCCTCAAGGACCTTGAAGAATGGCTAAATGATGTAATACTGGCGAGACGAGAGAGCTCTTTTAGTATGTAAGAATGGGGCAATGTAAAGAATATGCGGTGGTCTGGTGGGGTGGCATGAAACGACAGTCAAAAATAATGTGGAAATAGGTGGTCAGATGTGAAATTTCTGCAATGCATCCGCGAGGTCATGTCGAGACACGGTCGCGGGCACATGGTTGTGGACATCGAGGCGGCGACAACGATTCTTACGAAAGATATTCCGTAGCCGATCCAAATTTTTAGGGTCCAAGTCCCGTGGCAAGGGAGGTTCAAATTGGATTGGGTGGATGCTGACTTTAGCAGCACCAATGTATTTGAGTCGTCGTTCTGCTGCGAGTCGCACCTCTTGCTCGGTGAAGACGTGTCGAGTCATGGTGTCAGGATGAAGATGGGGCTCAAGTTTGGCTTTGTTTTATTGGGCGTGGATGTCTATATAAATATGTCTGGATTCCTTTGTTGCGGTGGCTAAACGTTGGCACTGCGTTTCTTTGCCTGTGAGGATGTGACCTAACACCCTAGTGTTCCACCCGCGCGAGATGCCCATTTAAACTGACCAGATTCTCTCTTTGCGTTTCACGCTCCTCTTTCTGCTTTCGACCCTTTGGCCAAATTCATTCCATAATGCGAAAACTCGGCGAAAAGTGAGTGACAAGAATCCGGGCCGCTCAAGTTGCATTGCCCCCCCCCCCCCCCCAGCCGCAAACCCGAACAGAAGTATCACCGGTAACTGACCTCAAGCCCGGGCCACAACCTCTCCATCTAGGATCCACACCTGGAAAGAGGTCTGCTACCTCCTCAACCTCAGAGTACACCGGCAAGAAAAGTCGAGTGATGCCTGGAAGGTCGCCTCGCCAGGAGACTATGCAGTGGCAGAGCATTATCGGTTCGGGCCTGACAGTCCGAGATGAATCTCCTTGGGGCACTTTCAGAAAGTACTACGATTGTGACCTAGCTGGCCCCGTTGCGGTATGTCTTCGGTCCTCTGGTAACCACGGCGTCTAGGCGGTGCGCCAGTATCCAATTGAGGACGCTGACAAGGTTCTGCGGAACCTCCACTCCATGCGCCATAGGAGCCTGGCCTCCACTCGGGAGTGCTTTCGCACCCCGGATTCTCTATACACGCTGGGTGAGTTTGACCCTCTCGCTCTAGATCATATTGTCGCCTGTAAAGCCTTCCCAGACGAGCAGGAGCTGGCAGCCATTATGTCTCAGGTTTGTTCCTCATTCCCTCCCACCTACCTGTCAAATGGCAAACAGGCTGATTCCGTACAGCTCATGACTACATTTGAAACAAGGGCAAAGTAATATTAATGCAGGTATCTATTAAATTGGTCACTTTTTCCAAAGCTTCGATAATCGGCCGCAAATACCCATCCTCTGCCTAGACCGTTGAGGTTGCTGCAACGTGTCCTAGGGTCGATTTCAGTGGTCGAATTGGATCCGGTTCATTTCTCTCCATTTAAATTTGCGATTTCCTACCACTACTACTACTACTACTACTACTACTACTACTATTACTGTAATGCTGATACTAGCCGCAGAAATTGAACTCCGTAGATCCACGCAGAGAACGCCACATCCAAAGTAGCGTTGGACTATTTAGACTCCAGAAGATATCCATACTCTAAGATGCGTTATAGGCACATTAGGTGACAACTCTCCGGAGTCATTTATCCGACCAGGATTGTGAAAAGGGGCAGTGCTCCGCAGAATGGTCCTGAGGAACAGCCAAGTCCAATTTGCAAGAAAAACGAACCCACTTGTACCATTGTAGTATCAATCCTTTGAATTCCTGGCTTGAATTTAATAATACTTGGTGTTCGGAGGAAGCCCTTGTCTCTGATCATCGGCCTAGTATTATTAATATTTGATATTCAAAATAAGAGCAGTGGACATACCAGGAGTTTCCCGAAACTTTCCACGAGTTGGGTTTCATATTCACGATAGGCATCCTCGATGGGGCCCACAGTGTCATAAATAGTAGCAACATCAAAATCAACCCAGACAATCCTTCCTTCGGGCATGACAAGCATATGTTTGGGGTAAATATCACGATGGTGGACGAAAGCATTATGAATCTCCTTAAGACCCTGGACCGCCTGGTTGATGAGGTCTTGGGAGTAATTTAGACAATTCAACCTCTCTGAATCTGACAAATACTCGATAAATATGGCACGTGGCATGAACTTGTCTTTCCTGAAGTTGTGGAGTGGTGGGTCAAAAGCAGCAGGGTCAAGCCGATCGATGTAACCGTAAAATATGGGAACAAAGCCGCGATAACACACGCCGAGCTCGTGGAATTTTTGATAGGCTCGCAGTCCGCAGCGAAAACGATCTAAGTCTCGGCCTGTTCTGGTATAACCTGGATCACCATTGTCGTGGAACTGATATGTTAGCATTATTCCAGGGATCATCAGTGGGCCTTACAAGCTTCATAATGCACCTCTTCCCGAACAGCTGTACTTCGTATAATGAAGAAAAGTTGGAGCGACTCATCTCCCTCCTAATGACCATTTCTGAAGGATGAAGATCCAACGTGGGGACATTATACGTATCTGCATGATGACGAAAATGCGCAGGAGTGACTTTTCAATAAAGAAATACACGAAGAGCGGTGGATCTTAGCCTTATGCGACGAATGGTAGAGAAGTCTGAATTGCAAAACTAGCTGGTACCATACAAATTTAAATAATAACAAATCGGTACAACGTTACAAAATTCCCCAGACACTTGGCAAACATTAAACATTACGCGTCACGTAATCAAATTCTGATCCACCCACTCCTACACCACCAAGAGAAGTGGCCCCTATATTACGTAATACATATTAATCTACAGCAGATTTGGGGACGCTGTGTCTAGAACTCGCCCAATGGCAGGCTCGGGGCGGGTTTTCATTTTTACTACCCACCAGGAAAAAAATGAAAATCCGCCTCCTGGGCAAAAAAACTGTTGTGATATGAGGCTGGTGCAGATCAGGAACAAAACCGAACCATCGGAATTAATTCCGAGGTACCTATACAAGGTGTCGGATTGACAGATACTGGTATGTAACAGTATTGAGGTGTCGCATTGAGATGCATTGGTGTTGTCTATCTGGATCCCGCTGTTGAAGCGTTATCAGATCTCAGGAGTCGTTCCTAGCGTGTTACGACGCTGGTATGCCGAGCGTACCCCGTTTACCATACAGAGACAAAGAGAGAATGGGTACTTGATGAATAACCCTGTCCTTAGTGGTAAAATACCACCCCTCAGTTCGACAAGATATAGTTCGCCGTGAGTGCGCGGCTGGCCCTCTGTGGCTCCTCCCATTTACCGCCCCTCGCTTCGACACATCTCCATTCCGTGATCTGCAGGCGATGTGGACGTAAGACGTCGTACACTCCCCTCGCTTCCTTGAAATAATCGCCTGCATATTTGAAGACAACGCATCTGTTGGCCGTTTTTTGATATCAGAAAATATTTGTTACATTCGCTGGACATGTCAGGTGTACCTGGATCCCAGAATAAGATAGAATTCATTGCGATTATTCCCGCGCGCTTTGCATCTACGCGCCTGCCGGGGAAACCGCTAGCTGACATCCATGGGAAACCGATGATATTCCATGTCGTGAAGCAGGCCCAAAAATCTGGTGCAGTGCGAGTCATTGTAGCGACAGACCAAGCTGATGTTGCCATCGTGGCACAGACAGCTGGAGCTGAGACGGCACTGACCCGCGCAGATCATCGGAGTGGCACCGAAAGGTTATCGGAGGTGGTAGATCTTCTGGATATTGAGGATGACAAAGTAGTTGTCAATGTACAGGGCGACGAACCATACATTGAGCCGGGGCTGATTACCAGGGTTGCGGTGGATCTTTCCCTGCATGGGACAGACATGGCGACCCTAGCGACACCCATTCATGATGCCACAGAAGCAGCCAATCCGAATATCGTGAAGGTGGTTGTGGACGTGGATGGTAACGCGTTGTATTTTTCGCGCGCTACGATTCCCTGGGACCGCGACAGAGGAGGGTTCGGAGGGACGAATCAGGCCATGCTGCGGCATATAGGTCTCTATGCCTATCGAGCTGGATTCTTGAGGCTGTATCCCACGATGCAGCACACCTTTTTGGAACAGGTTGAGAAGCTGGAACTGCGACTTCTATATTACCGGGCAAAAATCCATGTGTCGATTGCTGAATCAGCGCTTAGCTTGGGCGTGGACACAGAAGAGGACTTGGAGAGAATTAGGAACATGATGCCAAGGAATTTAGAATAGGTTACTCCATGAGCGGTGGATTTATGGGAAACGGGTGACTGAATGATTCTGAGTGAATAGCTATATGTATCCAAAAAATAGGTTGACCATTTCAATGGATTGATATACCTGAGACGCGCGTAGACGGACAAATTATGCGTCACAATATCGCACGATTAATCTGCTCACTACCCCAGAATTGAACATAGTGCCTCCCAGCCAGAATTTAGGAATACCACCTCCAAAATCTGTCGTCTATTACGTCGATGAGCGCACGTAGTACTGTAATTCACACCACCGATTTCGTCGTCCTGAACAACACTAGTCTCATCATCTGGCATCATTTCTAGATGAACACCACCAATCCATGAGCTACGGAGTTGGTGCACATCCATAGTAGCGATTAACTCATCCATTATACTGTAGACCAAAAGTCATGAGTCCGACTGAAAACCTGTTTCCAGTATTACCAACGTTTTACATCCCGGCCTGTCTACTGGGTTTGGGAAAGACCTAAAATTATTTATGACGAGACGCATTCGAATCACGGCTCCGGTAGCATTGAGAGGCATTTTGTGTCCGCAAGAACAGATTCACCGAATGCAAGAAGGTGAAGCAGGTCTAGTTCGTGAGAAAAGTTGAATAAAGTACAGAACAGTAGCAGAAAGATGAAGCAGGTCAATATCTTCCGGACCCGTGAAGTGTATATTTGATGGGTGCTCTTCACAAAAAGGCAGCTTTTACAAAGAGTAGCGCAGCTGAAACTGAGCCACCCCAGATGCCTGTTTAATTACCTGCTGCCTTAGTGTCACTCCCTATGGGAATGTACTGGATAGAAATGATTTAAGTCGAAGCACACTTCGCATCTTCCAGCGGCCGCGGAAAACATGTCCGATCTTTTGGGAGCCAAGCGGGTCCTGAAATGACTGTCAGAGATAAACATGAAGCATACAGATATGATCTGCGGGACCCACATAGTGTATATGGGTTCCCCTGAACGCGAGGAAGCTACCTTCTTTTGCTTCCTCGCGCTACGTCTTGTATCTAGAGTCGACTATAGCTTTCTTTAGCTTTCTTTAATATCGATAGCTCATCCGAAAGACACGCTCCTCGTCAGCAGATACGTGAGACCCTCACAATGACCTCGTACGTTCCCAGGATTTACGGTCCTGTAGAACAGGGCAACTATACTATCAACATCTCCAAGATGTATGATAAGTTGTGTACACTGGCCAATGTTAGAGCTGTACCCGATACGATAACTGCAGGATTTCTCAATATCGGTTATCGTATCGGCTACCACAAATGGCAGCCGATAATTAACGACCGACGATATCGGTTTATAGCCGATATTACTAGCAATTTACTATGCGCTTCAGGATCTTCTAGAAGATACAGCCTTAGTAGGATATGATGATGATATTGCGAATGCGATGAGGGCAGGCATGAAGAAGTACCAAAAGTACTATGACTTTATGGATAACTCAGAGGCATATTACACAGCCTTGATTCTTGATCCCCAGGTTAAGTGTGATCTTATACTTCATGAGGTAGAGGATCAAGAAGCTGCCCAGATGATTATACAAGAGACTCGTCAAATGCTCCATGAGAGATATCCACCACTTACACAGTCGATTCCACAGTCAATCCCACAGTCAATTCCAAATTCATCAACTCTCAATCGCAAAACAATGCGATTACGGATGCTTCGTAAGCTCCAGCCTCAGGAATATCAATTTGTTTCTGATATTGATCAGTGCTTTGACAGTCCTCGGGTTACTATTACAGAAACAGAGGATCCAGACTGGCTTTTTAATTGGTGGCGTACCCATAGAGGTGAATATCCTCAACTGGCAGAGGCTGCAAGGGAATTTCTTGCGATCCCAGCTTCAGAGGTCTCAGTTGAGAGACTATTTGGTGCAGGGAGAGATCTTTTAGGGATTCGAAGGCTTGGTTTAGGGGCGGATACTATGAGGATGCTGATATTGATGGAAGACATTGTTTAGTTGAAGTTATTGCTTAGTTAATTAGTCAGTTGAGTAATTTAGATATTACTTCCAACTTGAAGGTTGATTACTAGTTATACTATAGTAAAATGTCAGCGCATCGAGTGGTATTTTACCACTAGCAAGCGATTGATTACCCAGGAACCCACATTTCTTTGTGTTTTGTATGGTAAATTGGTTCAACTAGCAACCTCCGTGTAATAACCACCGAGTATACGCACATACGGAGGGTATTTCAACCTGCCCTCGATCGCATGCTTATTTCGATTCAATCAATCAATCATTTTATCCTGAATTGGTTCCGCTTGATCTCATTCGTCCTGAATGCATACTAGTCCATATGCTTTTAGCAAGTGCTGATATAAAACTTGAAGCGGAGAGGGAATACACTTGAAATGGATGATATATATTCTCAGGGTATAGTAGTTAGTGAGACGACTGTCTCCTTGCACTTCCTAACACCTGACCTATTATGCTAGACTCAATTAAGCTAGTTTGCCAGTCGACCGATATTATCGGCGAAAAATCATACGATAATTGGTAAATTATCGGCTCTACAAAAAGCAGCCGATAAGTTTCGGTTATCGGTATCGGTTCATAAAATTGGCCGCCGATAATTAACGGTCGATAATTAACTGCCGATAATACCGGGGAAAACTGATATCGGGTACAGCTCTACTGGCCATTGATTTTTGGTAAAATTGTGGAACGCGGAAGTTATGCTTTGCTGTTGGTTGACAAACTCCCCAGCCGCTCCTCAGGAGAATGTGGCCACCTATTTTCTGTCTCCTCTGTTGAGCTTATTATTGCCAGCTAAATTAGGATATGTTTTCAACCGTGCGACAACTGTCACTGTTCGGCGAATCAACGCGGCCATCAATAAACGAGTTTGCACTTGATCTGATCAAATTTTACCAAGTCGAAGTATCAAAAATGAGGCCAGCATGACCTGCCCAGATAGATGTGTTCTATAGGCGGAAGATTCAAATGCTTTTAGTATTCATTGATGTTTTATGTTCAACGTTGATGTCAACTTTATGGCACCATTCACCACCCGTCCATCGTAAAAGGTGCTGGAATGAGAACGCTCAAAATCAAAATCCGCGGTGGGTTGTTCGTGGGCAGGTAAAGAAATTGAGAACCCAACCCAAACCCGTGTTTGACGAGGCCTAGACACAGGCTATCTACCATCCATGATCACGTGTTATACCTTAATTAGACTGCGGCACGATCCATGGATATTGTGGATATATTTTGATGTCCAAGATCCACAAGCTGTTGGATATGGGTATAACTTAGATATCCATGGATATTTTGTGGATATCCATTGGATATAAAACAATACAAATATGCCAAGCCTTGTGACCTTCCTCAGTATGCATTATTTTTATGCTTCTCTCAGTATTTTTGCTGTACTAGCTATGTAATTCTTTATTCACATCTGTATAGTATAATTCTTTGATAATAATTCTTCTTTGTTCTTTGCTCGGCAGGAATAGTTTCTTTCTTATTATTACTTCTCAATTCTTAGACTAAATCACAGTACTAAAGAAGCTCAAACCCGTCTGGCAGTCTTGGCTGCTTCCGGGCTCGCCCCGGTCGCATCTGGGAGGATTCTATTGATACATCTGGGGCGCCATCGTCTTCTTGCTCACCAAGATCATCAGATGACCGCTTTCTTGATTGTCTTCCCTTTCCCCGCCTATGTTGCTCAGTATTATCCAAATCATCTTCCCCAGCACCCTGTATACACTGCTGTATATCCTCTACCCCAGGATCTTCATCCTCCTCATTGTCACTAATTGGTTCCAATATTTCAAGCGGAGGCGATGGTTTACGGGCTTGATCCATCAGTGCAGCCTCACTGTCGGAGAGATATTCTTTGATAGCATCCAGCTCCTCCTGCTTAAGATCGAAATTGGTAGCAAACTGATGAAGCATAAGCGCTCGGACTGTACTTGGTTTCAGCTGACCACGGCGATAATGGCAGATATCGCGGGCACAATTAAACAATCGCTCAACACCAGCACCGCTAGCAGGAATCGACAGGATATCGCGTGCCATATTTGCCAGGATAGGAAAATCACTCTCATGCTCTTTCCAATATACTCGAGGTTTTTGCCTCTCGATACCGCGGGCAAGATATCTGGCAATCTCATCATCCTGGGGCAGTATTGTTTCTTCAGGTATTTGATTCTGAGAGGCACAGATAGCATCCAAATCGTAGTCACTATCATCAGCAGACTCTCCGGATGGATCCTCCAAAGCAGTACTCTCAAGACCCTCATAGAGTCTAGCCTTATACCGGTCGAACTCTTGTTTTAAAACTTCATGGTAGTGTTTAACATAGTCAATATCCCCTTGCCAATCAGAGGAAGAGAAGTACCGGAGTTTTTTGGATGGGCAAAGAATTGTAGCAAATGCGTAGATATCCCCGTATGGCTCGTAATCGGTAGCAGTGTAGTACTTTGACAGTTTGGTTTTGGCGGTCTGTAGGGCCTGGAGCATATGCCTTTTCCAGATAACACCTTTATTTTTCAGCTTTGACTCTGCTGTATCGAGATGGGAGAAGAGTTTGTTGTAAATACTAAAGATATTGTGTACAGTGATATCTTTAGTCTGTGACAGTACAGTTGTAAAGTCGAAAAAGGGTTTTGTGAGGAGAAGAAGATAGTCCACCTGTCGCCATTCTTCCTGATCAAGCTTGAAATGAAGATACTGATGGTCTATACAGTACTGATCGTAGAATCGTTGTAGTCGCTTAGCACGGTTAAGCATCAGGAAGGTTGAATTCCACCGGGTTTGAACATCTTGGATAGGAATCAAAGGAGTGTCTGTAGTCTGTAAGGCCATAAATGCCTCCCGACGCCGAGGACTTGCATTAATAAAAACCGCAAGACCTCGAATCTTTCACAGGTTAGAAAACGATCTGGTAGATAAAGATTCGGCCGAAAAACAAGCATAGCTAATCTTTCCGCTGAAAAGACGTACCTTTCTTAGAGTCTCGGTGATCTGAACATGATTGCTGGATCGTTTGCTCTGAAAGGATTGTGTTCTTTCATCCGACCACTCCAAATCAATCTGTTTATTGGACGGGGCTGCCTTAAGCTTTCCAAGAAGCTCTGCTAAGCTAAGCTGGATCACATGTACAATACATGGGACCCGGAAGATTAAAGGATCAGACCGTCGGCTGCACTGTGCTTGGAGAGTATCTTGGACACCAGTCATCAATGTATTGTTATTTGTTGCATTGTCAGTTGTGACTGACAGTACCCGGTCGGAGATCCCATGATCGGCAAGTAGCTGAGTGACAGTTTTACTGAGATTCTCTCCGGTGTGGGATCCATGAAGATGTTCGAATCCAAGCAGAACCTCACAGTAGTTCCATTTTTGATCAAGAAAATATCCGGTAACAGCCATAAATGCCTGCTGGAATGGTGATGTCCAGCAATCGAGTGCAATTGACAAACGGCTTCCATTAGGTAGCTTTGCAAGGGTCTGTTTCTGACTCTCGGAGACAACCAAGTCTAGGCAACGTCGAATTGTCCGTGCAGATGGAACAGTAATCTTGGTTGAAGCTTGTTGAATAATGTCGACTAAATTGCGGAACTGGGGATGTTCAATTAAACGAAAGGGTAGATGGGCAGTAGTGATAAAGCTAAGTATAGCCTTCGAGAGTTGATCTTGGGAAAAGGATTGTTTTGCTGGGCCACTAGGCTATACAATAGCAGTGTTAGTATTAATATAGATACAAAATAGGAGTAACATACCATTTCCTTTACAAGTTGATCAATACCTTTCTTTGGGGTCGGTTTTCGGGGACAAGTACTTGTCTTTAGATGCGCATTCATAGGTGATGACCCTGCTCGACGGAAGCGTGGATGACCGATGGTACAGAGACATGATTTACACATTACCCTAGGCTTCCCACTTTTCTCGTGTGCAACTTGTTGGAAGCTATCCCAGACATCGGAAGTTGCTTTTCCTTCCCAGTGAATTTCTTTTCTTGTCTGAGGTTGCGATCCGAACTCAGTAGTAAGCCACCAGTCTACAAACTTCTTTCGAGTTTCTTCCATATTGCCGTAGCTAGAGTCAGAAGGATATGGGATCCAGTGCTTTTGTAGATAAGGACCAAGACGGATAAGAGATGTTGGTGCAACTGGAGTTTGGGTTTGCGAAAAAGATGTCAATGGGGTTTGGCTGCCGATAAAGTCGGAAATATTATCTGGATAGGAAGGGTCGGAGGTGAAATTCAGACCTATATCTGAATCAATACAGGAGTCCTGGGATTGAGATATCTGTGAGTAAGCCATATTTCAATTGATTGTGAATTACCTTGCAGTAGATCATAGCATAGAAGTAAAAGAGAAGACTACTTACAGAATAGAACAGAACAGATTTTCAGGGGTCTGGCAAACAGAACACGACATCGCAATATGGATGGATATTTGTGATAGATCGTTTGATCTAGACGTGATGATTGGCTATTCCCGCATACTAGTGCGGACATTTTGCGGATATCCGTGGACATCCATGGATTATCCACCAAATATCTGCCGACCGCCGTAGCTTCCAGAATCACAGAACAATGGCAGAGTCCGTAAATCTACAATTTGAGACCGTTGTTTCTCAATAGATTTCTATATAACTACTATTTCAAATTTAACAGATATATAACTGAGACCCTATCATTTCATTCTACTAAAAATTTGAAAAGAAAAAACACAGAATTGGGTATTTGTTCAAATAATCTAGTGATCACAAAGATATGGTGCAGGAGTATACAAGGGAGACCCACAGAAATATATATCATTCCCTATAACCTGCCATGAAATCCCCAAATCCTATCTACCCCTACCAAAAAACAAAGATTTTCAATTTTTAGAAAGGAATATAGCAATTCAACCAAATTCATAACTAGATACAGTATTATTTCTCAATATTTCATCGTATAATAGAATAATTCAGTGGAATTGTATGGTTAGGACGAAACATGTGTT